GAGTGAATGTTAGAGTATAAGATTGATTCAATTATAATTAATTAATTAGTTAGATTTATTAGTAGTTGGTTATGGTTTTGGGTTATATAAACCCAATAGTTATGAGTGAGCTATCAGGTTGTATTGCAATTTACTTCATTCAAAATACACCTTTTATGTTTCTCTTCTCTATATTCATTCTAGTCAATTACTAAACACTAGTCGTTTACATTCCTCACCACCGGTAATCTCCTACCACCATGGAACCTTTTTTACAGTAATGGTCATTAAAAATTTTCATTAATTGACACGTATCACATTCTGATAATTTTAAAATAAAAAAAACTTATAAATATATTTTCTTTGAAAAAAATCTCAAAAGTTTTGAAAATTTTAAAAAAAATCTCAAAACTTTTAAAATCTTTATTTCAATCACTAAACTCATGTCGGCCGCCGCCCTCCACCCAACGACCAATAACTCCACGAATAACCACCCGAACAGGAGCCAACAAACGACGAATCACACAATCCCCAGAGAAGAACAAAGCTACAAATCACGACCCCACACAATCTCGACAGACAATCAACGAAGAGGATGGCGACTTCTGACTAGAGAGATGGTGAGGACGACGTCGGTGGCGACAATTTTAACCGACAAGGGAGGTAAGGTTAGGGTTATGATTAGGGATTTGAGATTTTTTTTGTAATTTAAGAGAAGTTATGACTTTTTAAAAAAATGATAATATTTTTAAGTTTTAAAAATAAAAATTTTAAATTACTTGAAAGTAATATGGGTCACTTAATATTTTTTTAACGGCCGTTACGGGGCAAGGCCTAAAGTGATAACATTCGTAATGTTAGTTACCTGAATTAACCTAACAATAATTTGACACTATTTTAAAAAATTAATATAGTTTGAACACTTATTTTTATATTAAACTTTGTATATAACAAAAAAATATTATAACTTAATGAGAAATCCTAAATTTATTTGAACAAAACAAAAGAAATAACGGTGTTTCTTTGGTTTAGGGTACCTATGGTATATATTCTTATTTGTCTGAGCTTTGGCCACTAAAGAAATCTTCCCTCGCCATTGATGTTCAGAGATTACTGACTAGACTAAACTAAACCGGCTGTGACCCATCGCTAATCCTTTGGGAAGCGTTTTTTTGGGCAGATGCACAACTTTAACCCTGAGAAATATTAACTGGCTATTGTCGGTTGTCAGTTTTGGGATTTATGGGCAACTGTATTGTTTGTTTGTTTGCATGTGAGCCTTTTTAACTTTAACTCAACTGTGTTTTGTCCTTAGCTTCAACCTTGTTTAAGCTAAGCATTGTTGGGATGGAGGGACAAAACAAAATGATATAATGACAAGATTAGTATCTAAGGTTTAAATAAATAGTAATTTTATTCTTTATTTTTTAAGGTATTATAATTTCAACATTTCAAAAATTTTATTAAAATAGTCTATGTTTGATATAAATTATTAGTTAACTAATATTTAACACATATTACTAATGTGACATTTTTACATGTGTTTAATTAATGATATGACATGTACCAAGTCACCCAAATCAAAGACATAACATGTGCCATAATATTACGAGTTGATTGTGTATTAATTCAATTAATTATTATTATTATAATATTTAAGAGATGTTAAATTCGAGTGCGCTTGGACACAAATACCAGGAACCAGGGCCACCATATTGGTTTTATAATTATTATCATCCCAATTTATGGGGTTATGGCACAAAGGGGGGAGGTTGGGGTTTTAACGTTAGGAATGTGGTTTGAAAAGTGATTATAAAGTGATTAGTGGTATATTCTAAAGTAGATCTCAGTCCTCAACTCTTTTCCCATTTCCAGTGTTTGATTACTTTGAACTTACACTTCTTTCTTTTGAGTTCGGGTTTCACATCCATTTATTTATGTGTTAAAAAGAAGAGACAAACAACTTTGTTGTTGTTTCATACCATAATATTACTGTCTTTTTAACCTTTTTAAAGATCTTGCATTGCATGTAGCTATTAGGTACGTTGGCAAAGCATTACAACATACTTCCTCGTATTACTCATCTCCATAATAATAATAATAATATAATAAGGGTAAACTATAGTAACCCATCACCCATGACCACATAACTATGAGGAGATTTCAATTTGACCATTGATCTTTTAATTTTGTTAATCAGATCACTTAACTATATAAATGATGTCAGTCAAGTCATTGTCGTTAACATTTGATGGTGAAGTTAATAAAATTGTTATAATTATACATTTGATCCTCAATACTTACAAATTTGATCCTCAATACTTACATATTCTATCAATTTGATCTCAAGTTCTGTTATACCAAATTGATAGAATGTGTAAGTATTGAGAACCAAATGTATAATTATATCAAATTTATTAATTGTCATGTCAACTCATTTAACATTTGAATTATTAAGTGATATTGAAAAATCAATGGTTAAATTGAAATTTCCCCATAGTTATGCGGTCATGGGTGTAGTGTACCCTAATAATAAATATAACGAATGTCTTATAATCTCTTTGAGAATCTATATTAGAAAAACGATTGAAAAGAATTAGTAGAATCTATGATGATGAGATCTCACCTGCAATCACCGTTTTCAATAGGAATGGGCATGGGTCGGATTTTTGGTCCATCCGACCCCGACTTTAGAATAAAGAATCTTTCACCCGAGATCCGACCAAAACAAGGTTTCACCCGATCCGAAACTGATCTCGACCCGATATATAACTTAAAAATCCGAATAACCTGACACGAAATAATAATAAAAATATTATTTTTATTCAATAAAAACAATGACTTAATTGAAAAATAATATATAAAAATATATTATTGTAATTATTCATAATTATATAAGGTAACATTATATATTTTTCGGATCGGGTCGGATATTTTTTACCCTAAACCCGACCCGACCCGAATATCACATTTAAAAAATCCAAACCCAATTTTTTTTTTAAAAAAAAAACCTAACCCGATCGGATCAGAACCCGTCGGATTTAAGTCCCGTGTCGATCCCTAGTTGGACACCTAGTTTTCAACTGGTTTATAACCCATACCTACATGACCCATTAAAGTTGATATTGTAAGTGAAAAAAGGCATGGCAGGCAGGCAAGGTTTCCTAAGAACGGCGAAGAAAGCTTCAAAGAACTTGGAATTTCAAACATCTTGGTTCTTTAACAGAAATTCACAGAAAATGTTCCTTTATTTCAAAATAAACCCATGCACTTTCCTTTAGGCTATACACAATGGAGGAACTATACATTGGTTGGAGGTTGAAAAAATGTGAGAGATTGTATGTTAGGAGAAGAGTTGTTTAGATGAGGCTTTAAATAGGGATGAACTAAAGGGATGGGTCGACATAGTCTTATATTTTAGAATTTTTTTTTATATTTTCAATTGATAATTTATTTTCGTTCCTATAATTTTATAAATTTGTCTCTTCTAAAACTTTAGAAGTTTATCCCTTCTATCATAAGATCTTGAGTTGGTCTGTAACATGAAGCGCCGTAATGTACATATAATTAAATAATTTTAAATAAGTAGATTTGAAGTTAAAATTAAAGGTAAAGTATACAAATGCTCCTCACACTATAGGGTATTGTTTTGTTGAATTCTTTGATTATTAAAAGTTACAAAATGATTACTCAATTATTCATATATTCCAAATTCGTCATTTTTCATTAAAAAATTTAACATCTATTTGAGTTGGACATTAATATACTGATTAGATATGATAAAATCATATTTTAATGATGTGTATTGGCATTGTCTTTCCTTTCAAGTACTTGCTCAACGATATAATGTTTCAAGCATTGACTCAATGACATAATGTAGACAAAGATTCGATCAACAAAATACAACTCAAACAATTTTAAAATAAGATTTTATCATATCCCAGTGAGTAGGTTAACGTCCAACTCAAACAGGTGCCCAATTTTTAACGAAAAATGACAAGTTTGAAAGATAATAATAGTCGGATGACTATTTTGTAACTTTTAATAGACATAGACTCAACAAAAAACACCTTATAGTCAATGGACTATTTTATTACTTTCAATAATTGAAGGACAAAACAAAATAATATCATATATTCGAGAGATCATTGGTGCACTTTATCCTGAAATTAAATAATTATAATATAGTTAGTAAGTAAGAGAGAGGAACCATCTTAGTGTAAAGTACGTTGGCATAAATGGAGTATTTCATTGAAGTATGTATGGCTGTGCAAGATGATATGATTAATAATCAACAGTTCAAGCTGCCCACCTAGAATTGTTTGTAGAATCCATACAAGATCGTCAAGCGCTACTTGATATGAACAACTAAAGAATCCATTTTTGTACTTTTGTTTTAGCTAACAAAGCCTACATGTTTCAGAATAGTCACAGCTAGCTACCACGAGAAAATTAATACTACGCTACACCATTTGCCCAACAGTAAAATTCCATTGCCCTTCCAATTATACAAGACCTGCAGAAGCCAAATTGCTTTTCAACAATTCCTGAAAAATCAGCGTTGCCCAACTTATCAACGAAAATGGCAAACATACACACATACACGTCGCCTTACCAATATAGGATTAGTATTGGAAACCGGTGATTATACTAAAAAAAAGAAAAAAAAGTGAAAAGGGAGAACATCACTAGTGATGAAAGTACCAGAAAAAAGATCCAGGGGAAGTGTCTTCCGGTTTTGGAATCAATTGTAAACGGATGGCGTTCCAAATCGGTTGCGAAGATCATCAATTCCTATCTCAAATGACTTAGAAAGCTCAGAAATGGAAGTTTTGCAAACTGATATCAATACGAGAAGACAATAAGATGATGAAATTTCACAATTCAAAGGTTAAGATGATGAAAAATGGTTTTGAATAGTAAAACCAGATGAATGATCCACAGGTTTATGAGCAACCTAATAAAAATTAGTTTTCATAATTCTTCGTTAGGGTCAAATTAAATTTAAACTAATCAGCCCACTCAACTAAGCGTAAAGAATGTAAAACATGGCAATAATAATAAAAGACCTCGTTGAAATAACACTAGCAATGAAAAGAAGTAGCTCAACAATACCACAAGATGCAGTGGCTTGGGTATCTGCCATGAATTCTGCATATGAAGCCTGAAATTAAACAAAAAGAAAGATGGATTACGTAACAATGAAGGAACTGGAAAGAAAATAATTAAGAATCGGAATATTTACTTTCATTGCTTCATGGCTGCTATCAATCTTTTCCGATATCTTCTTGTATTCCTTTTCAGCTTCCTCCATTACTTGTTGGCATGCTTGTGTCTGGATCTGTCAAATTAAAAAAAAACAATAAAAGTATACTTCTAACGGCATTTCAAATTCAGTTCCTTATTTCATGTAAATAATAAAACGGATCAAGCTGAAAACGGAGAGACAGAGAGAGACCTTGAAGCGCTTGTGGAGGCGAGATTGAGAGGCGTCGAAATCCATGAGAATCTCAGAGTGAGAGCGATCGATGAGGTTCCGCTTCATATCCTCCAACTGTGAAGATGCGAATTCCTTAAGATCGGAGATGCTGGTTAGGGTTTTGTTGTTAGGCAGTGAGGACTGGAGATTGAGGAAAGCGGAAGCTGATTTCGAATGGGAGGCGTTAGTTATATTCCTCTTCCTTTTGTTGAAAATGATTGGTTTGGGCGGGGACTGGTTTTTCTCTGGGGCAGGAGATGCCATTGGCAATGGCAATCTTCGATTGATTCTCCTCTGCATTTTCGTTTGCGGTCAGCGAGCTTGCTTTCAACTGAGTTTCTTCTGACTTATATTTTTAGTGCTAACGGATTGGCGGGGTTTGTTTCTCAAATTTGTTTGGTAACTTTTGTGGCAAAGGGATAAGGAACAAAGCTCGAGTATAGTTGAGCTTAATTAAATTTGGGAAGTTTAAATTTATTTCGACTTAGTTTGAAAATTTACGAGTTTATAATTATCAAATTCGATTTAAACTTAAAATCAAAAAATAAAGCTCAACTCGAATGTGAAATTAAAAATTGAAGCTCGAGTCGAGTTTGATAAAAACTTAAACTCGAAACATTCTCAAACTTAGATCGACTTAGACCTGAACCTTAAATACATAAACACATTATATTTTTAATTAAAAAAACCACATATAAATATTAATATTATCAATAATTTAATTTAAAAAATTAAAATTATAAAAATCATGGAGTAATATATTAGTTTTAAGTATTATTTTATAACTTTTAAATATAAAATGACCAAAATGTAAAAAATCATAATTTAATGACTGTTGGGGGGTAATTTATCCTTGTAATATCGACCAAGGTACATGTGGAACCAATGCTACACTATCAGAGCTAAGCCCAATATAAGTTTGAGTGTGCAACATTTTTGCATGCTCCAAAATAGACCTTGGCTTTGCATAAACCACAGTGGGTAAGCTTTACTGAAGCCATCCGTCCCAGATATGGACTCTGTACGAAGAACTCCAAATGACTTTGCCTTCCCAATCCCCAGAGAAGAGCAGCAAGTGCAAGTTCTTCCGTTAAAAACATAAGAAACAAGATGAATCATCAGCAGCAGATCCAAATGGAGATACCACTACTCAAAACAAGCCGGCTGAAGATAGGTCGCCACTGAAGAAAAGATTCGGAAAGGAATACGAAGACGAAGCTCGCTGTGCGTGGTTTTAAAAAAGACGAGATGTCGCTCGAAATAATGCTTCTCCAAGAACAGAGGGTCGGTTCCTTAAAGAAAATCGAAGTCGTCGGGCAGCCCGGTGTTGGAAAAACAACCCTTTGCAAGTCCATTCTCGAAAACGAGAGGGTGAAGAACTGCTACAAATAATCAATCTTATAATTTATCCAAAAATTGAACTTTTTGGCTGTTTGCTGACGATTTATTAAACAAGCATTGGTTGGTGGTGTCTCAGCCTCAGGTTTCAATTCATTATAGTATTATCTTATTAATCAGGGGAAAAGGACAAGATAAAAGACAGACGGTGGTCCCTGCCTGTCCTATGTAAATTGAATGAGTTGGATTTGTGATTTCCCATTCCGATATCTATACACATCAGATTCCTTCATGCAAATAATAAATAAAAAGTGGATGAGGGCATCTGGCTAAGGTGGTTTGGTTTGAAACTTTCGAAGCACCCCAATCAAATAGCTGAAATATTCATCTGGAATCAGGTTTAGTCTACTTGATTTTATATAAAAGTGAGTCACTTTAGCATGCGTTTATATAATACTGAATTCTGATATTTAAAAACAGTGTATGAATGAATTGTTTTCATGTTATTGATAACATTTGAACGACTAAATTCTGCAATTTTGGTAAAAACAAGAGAAAAAACAGTTCATGTTTGAATGATTACATTACAACAAATGACGAAAGAAAAGACAAGAAATACATGATTGAAAGATCACCCATGGTTGAAGATAAATAAAAAACGCAACACACTTTGGCAAACAAAAAGAAGAAAGAAATGCAGAACACGAAGACAAGTTGAAGTCTAATTGGAATGAGCTTGCCAGATTCCATTCAGATCGCATGGGCAGAGTGTGATCCTGGGGCTTCTAACATTCTCCAAATATTTCAAACTCGGAAACCTATCCTGCATCTCTTTCCAGTTCATTTTAAAACCCATCAAGAACTTCAACCTTAAAGTCTCCACCTTCCACTTCTCCCCTACCGGATCTTGTTCCAGGTAACTCAGTTTCCCGCCTCTAATCGACAGGTTCGTCAGGTTCACCATTTTCGACGGTAGCAGCCATTCCGGTGGCTTCGAGTAAGGGAAGCATTGGAGGTCCAAGTTCACCAGATTCTCAAGACCTTTAAGATCCTGTTGTTGATTTCCCGCTCGCCGCAAAGCAGCAGCCTCCATAAACTTGGCGACTGCAAACTTTAAAACACCATTTTGCTTGGCATTCTCCTCCCGAACCTTGTTGACTGCATTTCGGAAAACATCTCTCGGCCGCCTCCGGTTGTCTTGGTCTGTTGCTGAAATACTTGTCTTCTGCTGCTTCTTGGCCTTGGGTGGCGGCTGTTCGTTGCTACTTATCGGCATTCCCCTTGATCCCCACGCTATCCTTAGTTTTTTTAGTTCCTTAAACTTAACCAGAGACTCCTTTTCAGCATTAATATTGAAGCTCGTGGTGTTGACATTGATGCTTAGTTTTCTCAGTTTCTCTAACTTTGACAAGTCGACTAGAGTGCATGAATTTTTGGTATCCACAATCACAAAACCTTTTAAGCACTTCAAGATTCTTAAGTTCACTCAGCTTTCTGGGCACGTAATCAAGCAGATAGCACTCAGATAAATCCAAGTAAATCAGTTCCTTGAGTAGGCCTATCTTGTCTGGTAATCTCTCCAGGTTGTGACATGCTCTAAGATCTAAGATCTTCAAGTTTTCAAGCTGCCCAACAGCGCCGGGAATCTTTGGGATACCTGAAACACCTTGAAGACTAAGAAGCCTGAGATTCTTCATCTTCTTCAACGCTTTTAAGAAGTCGATGTCTTCGACTTCGATATGCCGAGGCCGCCCCGCCGTGGTTTCCCATTTGCCCATGTAAAGAACTTTGAGGGTCGTCATCTTGGAAAACCACTCCTTGGGTAAACTTGGAAACTGCTTACTCAAATTGAACAATGTCTGCAATTTGTCAAATTGCCGACTAGCCTTCATCAATGTTCCCCTGTCAGGAAAATTGAAAAACATCTGCAGCTTCACCAGATCTACAGGTAGCTGCTTTTCTTGCTCCTCCTGCTGCTCTCCTTCCTTTCCTTGCCCCTGCTTCTCTTTAGAGTTGTTTGATTCTTTATCATCTTCATCCTTGTCACTTCCTTTAAGATATGTAGAGAACCAGGGAGCAGCGGCTCCTTCAGACCTCACCATACATGCCTTGTTGCAGGCTGAAAAATCCATGGTGGGTTTTCCCTCTTGGTCATAGTCGAAGAAGACAGCCTTCTTGGCGAAACTGATCAAGCACGAACGAACAATCGGGTCCATCTTGTAGCTTCTGGGCTCTAATCTGTTCTTCTTCAAAACCGGCTGGATAAGTCCCTTCTCCACGTAAATCTTGAGAGTTTCATTTACAATGTCCTTCTCATCCATTTCTCCTTGGGGTGGGATTAAATTTTCCCCAACCCACCAAAATCTCAGAAACCTCTTCTTTATCTCGGAATTTTCAGGGAAAATTGCGAAACACAACAAGCAGAGTTTAAGCCTCTTATCTTCAAGGCTTCCATATTTTTCCTTAATTTCCTGGAAATAATAGCTTTCTTCAAAAAGCTTTTCACCGTATAAGTGAGGCAGGTCCCCTGTATCTCCGGTGGCAACGGTCGTCTGCAAACCCCGGTTACCTTCAGAATTTAATCCGGCCGCCTGATGTGGCGACGGGATCAGGATCTTGACTCTGGTGATGTTGTTTCTCAGCACACGTAGATTGTGCTGAACCTGTTTGGGTAACTCCTCTTTCTTCAGATCAGTCACGATGTCGTTGACATTGGCTTCAAGAGTTTTGAGTGGATCGCTTAGATCCTTCTCGAACTTCTCCAGTTTCTGGAACGACCGATACATATAATCGAGTTCTTTCAACAGTTTTCCCAGCTCGTGTAGCGCGTCCGTCTTCTTGTATCCCCCATCGCTTTTCGCATCTTTCCCCTTGTCGCTCTCGTTTTTTTGGTCCCCTGACCACCGTCCCCTTCGCCGCCGGTAGAGCTATCTGGCGGGGTTTCAGTCTGGTTTTTTGCCGCAGCGTTGGTGTCGACGGTGGTTTGCTGAGATGGATCCGCTTTCTTTGCATATTCTTCGGTAAGTTTGCACAACTTGGATATGCGATCGATTATATCTTGAATGGGTGAGACTGAGATAGTTGTTTTATCTGGATCCGAAGACATAGATAAGGCGATATTTCCTCGACGAAGTGAGAGTGGACAACTATGGAATAGAAGCTAAAGCCTCAAAAGAAGAAGGAAAACAACAAAGACTTCCTTTAGAGGCCAACAAAGAGATAACAATAAAGCTTAAGCAGCGTACCAGGTCTATCAAGGAGCAAGAAACTTCCGCCTTCCTCCGCCTCGCGCATGTTTTATTGATAATGAAAAGACACGAGGGTTAAATATTTTTTGGAGAGGAAACTTTATTTCATTATTTGCAGCGTTATGATATGACCGTATTTAATTAAAACGACGTCGTTTTAATCTAAAATATAATTTTTTCAAGAATTAAAAACGATGCCGTTTTAATGTAAGTTGTAATTTCATAACGTTGTTTATTTATTTAACGGCAGAGCGACAAAAAAATTATAAATTGAAAAAAAATTAAAAGTATAGTGAGTGAAATAGGAGAGAGTAAAGTATGGTTACCAAACGCGTAATTTATCCTTAAAATTAAGTATATCAATGATTATTAAATTATAATTATAAATATTAACGTTTAAATATAAAATAGTTATTAAATTTTTCAAATGATGATGAAATAATCATTAAGTTTTATTAAAACTTATCAAAAAAAATTAATAGAAGTAACTAGTTTTATTAAAAAATGAATATCCAAAATTATAATAAGAGTTCATAATTATTATCGTAAATTAGGATATTTTTCTAGAACATTAAAATTAGTCATTTTAGATCCTATAAAGACATACATGAAAAATGTTAAAAATTCAACAAAAATACTCGAAAAAAATATATACAAGCAAACCTGACTGCATCGACAAACGAACCACAAGAAATGATTAAGCTATTGAAAGACTACCGAAAACTGAAAATCATTGCGAGCGTCATGAGAAACTATCAACGGTCGAAAAATTGTGTATCTAAATTTAATCTAAGAGTCTATAGCAGGAAAGATCAACTAGATTACAAATAAGTGTCATTTTGATCAATCGTGACGTCGTCAAATCAAACCCTAAGAAAACATAAAATAAAAAATAACGGATAAATAACAAAAAAACGTGCCACAAAGATAGAAAAACGTGCCATAAAGGTAGAGATAAACGTGCCCCAAAGACATAATTATTCTTATAAAAAAAATAAAGAGAGAAGATAATCAGCGGTCAGAAACCAACATTAAAATCGATACTGTTGTCGGCTAAAAATGTTGATCTGATCAATAAAAAACAATATAAACTCTAAAAAAAAATTAGGAGAGATCAAAATTTATTTTTTATATCTCACAAAGATCATTTTATAATAATTCAATAAGTTTAATAATTATTTTTAACGGTTAAATCTACGAGATAATGTGTTGGAATTATTTATTTCACAAGATAACGTTCTCCTAAGATTAATTGCTGAAGTATGGCGAATTGCACAGTGTTGACCGTAGGTCGCCATGCCTTCCGGGCGACCTACGACCTGGCAGCTTCAGACGTCCCATGCACAACCCAACCCATAGGTCGCCATGCACTCCCAGTGACCTCCTAGGTCGCCATGCACTCCGAGCGACCAAGGAGGTCGCCATGCACGCCCGGCGACCTTGTCTCCTTGCATGGCCATGTGATATTTCTGCACGTCCCAGTTATGACATGCAGGGCGTGCAAGGGTTAAAAGCTTGGTCGCCGGGCATGCATGGCGACCTCCTTGGTCGCCCGGAGTGCATGGCGACCTCCTTGGTCGCCCGGAGTGCATGGCGACCGGGAGTGTATGGCGACCTATGGGTTGGGTTGTGCATGTCCCATGCACACGATCATTCCCTCGTCAGAAGCTACCACGTCGTAGGTCGCCCGGAAGGCATGGCAACCTACGACCAACTGTGTAATTCGCCCTACTTTAGCAATTAATCTTGGGAGAATGTTATCTCATGAAATAAATAATTCCAACACATTATCTCGTAGATTTAGCAATTTTTTAACTCCTAAAACTTCAATAACAAAAAAGTCATTTTAGTATAATTTAGTATTCGCTTGGACTTTATCTTTGTAAGTCATTGTTAGATTATTATTTGAGTTAACTTGAATTTTTTTAAACTCGACTGGAGAAAACGCTCACCCCTATACTTAATAATGTTATCATTTAGACTACTCATCGTGGGTACCTATTTGAATTTCTTTTTAAACATAGATATCAAATTAAGAATTCTTTCAAAGTTTAAGTATCGATTTCAAGAAAATTCAAAGCGCTAAAGCTTTTTTTTTTTTTGAAAATAGCTAAAGCCTTGTATGAAGAAAAGGAAGGACGCTAAACAATAAATATAAAGACAGTGATCGATTTCAGAGATTGTCATCGTTTGGATTCCGCTTCAAATCCTCCAAGGTTCAAAGCATACAGGTTTTCATTTTCTTCTTCCTTCGCTCCTTCCTTTCCGTTTTCTTACTTCATTTATGCTTCTAAACGACTTTATCTTCTTTCTACGATATTTAGTACTTTGAACAAAGATGAATGCTTAAACTGATATGAGTTGCTAATTTTTCATTTGAATACTGATTTTTATGGAAGGTATTGTGAGAGATGAGTGATAAAGGCAGTTCAAACCCAGATAACAGTGAAGAACCCGAAGAAGAGATCCGTGAAGAACCCGATTTAGGTGAGACCCAAACCCCGGAAGAGATCCGTGAAGAACCCGATGAAGTTGAGACGCAAACCAAGGGAGAGATCAGAGAAGAAGCCAGTGAAGGTAGTAATGCCCAGGAAGATGAACAAGCTGAAGGTAGTACCCAAGAACACAATCAAGACAGTCCCAAAGAGATCAATGAAGACGACGACGCTGAAGGTAATCTTGTTTTTCCTTTTTGTTGATGAATTATATTTTGTTCTTCTTCTGAGTTTTCTGGAGATCTATTGAAAGTAAACCCGACTTCGGATATATATATATATAAAATCCACTTTTATGAATAAAAAAATATAAAGAGTATGTATTTTAGCAATTTTTTTTTTTAAATTTATAAGATAAAATTTTACTGTTACTCATGATTGAATAAGAGATTTTTTTTATTTTAAACTCGACCCGATCTTATCATCTATAAAATTTAACGATTTAAACCTAGATTAAAAAATTTAAACTATTAAATCATATTAAAATCCATCAATTTTAAATTAAATTGCCATGCTAGATCTAACCAAGAAACAAAGTTTACCATTTAGTAAGGTCAAAAATCACTTATTCTTTCTTGTTTGATGAAAAATATTCTGAACTTTCTGATTTTTATTTATTAACTGAATTTTAAATGAAGATATAAATTTATTCTTTATTAATTAATTAATTAGTTCTTATTTATTTAGTTTTATCTTGTTTTTTCAGTCAGTAAATTTTAGTGAAAATAATAAAAATTAATTACATATAAAATTACTTTGATTAATATATTAAATCAAGTTAAATTATATCTTACTTTAATATAAACATATTTTAAAAAAATGTGTTTTTTCAATTAATATTTAATTTTTTCTTAAAATTATCTCCAATGAGACAAAATTAGTCTCATGCTATTTTGAACTAGCTTGACCATGAACTTGTACCATAACTCTCTAAATGATTTCATGTTCATTTAGAAAGACTTATATTGCATGTCAATCACTCAAACCATGGTTTAATGCATAAACATGCACATATATAGACCACTTTTACCTCATGACCATCACATATATACAACAAAAGCATATCAATCATTCATTTAAGATCGGTACGAATCAAATGATTTTAATGATTAAAAGAGTGATTGTATTCTTAGATGTCTCTAGTTTGAGTATACCGTCTGCAGGGATATTTGAACGTTCATTGTCAAACGATTTAGAGTCTTTAAGACATATACTAACTTATAATCATCCCACACTAATAAAAAAATCATTTAATACATTTAGGACTTCAGTAAATCGTTATTAATTCACTTCATATTAAACATTAGTATCATATAGGCCACAAAGCTTCATACAAACATCATATATTCATCACATTTCACATCAGATATCGGTTGTGCTAAAAATATATATAACCAAGCCAACTTATACAAATCATTTTATATATGTTTTTTTTTAATTATAATCTATCATGTAGCAACATATCATATAAGCATGTTAGCATGTATTTCACTTATTACATTTATCTTGTAGGCATTTTAGCAAACATTTCATATAGACATGATAACATGCACTTCATATAGAAAACATATTATTTAGTTACTTTATCATACTAATCATTTATCAACACAACATATGGGTCTCTTTAACATACACTTCACGCAACACAAACTTTTTATAGGCACTCTAGCATAGAAATTAATATGAACACATTCAATGATCACTTTAACGTACAGAACATATAGTAGGCATGCTATATAAGTGTTTTTGCATGTAAATCATGTAACAAACGTATCATTTACGCATTTTTAGCATGCAATTCATACAACAAGTTTACGGAGGAAAGTGCACGGAAGATATTCGACTGGTTCGAAAAAGGCGATACAAAAATTATTCTCATTGGCGAGACTGGAACCGGGAAAACGTGGATGGCGAAAGAAATATGTAAGGTTGCTTTGAATAAAAAGTACGATGAGCCCATTTGGATATCTCTGGACAAAAAGCATGATAAGAAGTCTTTTGTAGACACTGTTAGCCGTCAGTTTTGTCTCCCTACTAGTGCAGATGAAAGGGAATAAGATGCTAATGAAAATGAGAGAAAGGATAGGAATCCGGTGACTTTGGAGGCTCTACTGAAGGCCCCTGCGGGAGAAAATGGAAGAAAAGCTTAAAGAGGCTAAAAAGTTTGTTCTATTGGTTTTGGATGGTTAGGTAGATATGCTGCATAAAGACCAAAATGAGAACTTTGGGATTGAGCGTTACATCAAGGAAGAGATTTTGGGTTTGAAATCGAACACAGAGAATGTCGAAAAATTGAGGGTTCTTATCACAAGGAGGAAAAGTGAAGATGGTGATATAGCTAAGGGAGCAAAGAAGATAAAACTCGAACGCCTTTCTGGTGATGCGGCGTCCAAATTGTTTAAAAAATATGCTCATTTCCAAATTTATTCGTTGAAAAAGTATGGAGAGGTATCTCGGGTATTGCAGGAAAACAGATGGAAGCCTGCAGAAGTCCTTTTGTTAGCGGGGACCTTAAGTTACTTTACAAAGGATAATGATAAGGATTTAGAACCTGCTATGGAGGCAGCAGTTGGTGGTCTGAAACAACTTTTGCGTTTTGCATATGATAGGGAGCCCGGCCATTCGATGATCGACTGCTTCTTGCATAGTTGGAACTTCTTGAGAGAACATGGTGGTGTTAACTACAATGAATTGATCACTAGCTGGATAATGGAAGGCTGTCTCAAGCACACTAATCAGATTGATAAGGCTTATGTGGAGGGACACGCTGTGTTGATGAAGCTTATGGAGTATAACATGCTGAAAATGCAGGAGGACAATATTTATTGTTCTGGAGGGAGCAACACTTAAGATGGATGAGTACTGTCGCCGTGGATACTGGGGGACAGGGGATCCTGGTTTGGCTAGCGTGCTCAAGGGTATCGATCGAGCAGGTCATGTAGAAATACCACCAGCTCGAGTTCTTGATGGAATAACACCAGCTGATGGCATGATGAGAACATTGTGTGGTCATAAGAAAGAGAAAATGATCTCCTCTTTACTTATCGATGGAAGTCGTCTATGCAGGGAAGTTCATGAGGCTTTCTTTGGGAAAACGGAGAGCCTCAATCTGCTTGCCATATTTTCTCCCCGGCTCAAATCTCCCGAGGAACTTTCCATATCTAAACCGGAGAAGCTGCTTGTGCTCATGCTCAGAGGCTCTTACCTGTTGGAGAATGTAAAGTTTATTGAAAAACTCACAGCCTTAACTATTCTTGAAATATCTGGTTCACGAGATTGCAAGATAAAGCTCCCGGATAACTTTTTCAATCTCGTCTCCCAACTTCGAAGCCTCGACTTTTCTGGAACTGGAATTGAATCATTACCTGCTAGCTTCTCCGAATTGACTGAGCTCCGGAGGCTTATCCTTAGGCGGTGTTCAAACTTAGAAGAACCTCCAAAGCTGGCAAACTTCAAAAAACTTGAGAAAATTGATCTTTCTGATTGCACAAGATTAAAAAAGATCCAAGAAAAGAGCTTCAGGTCGTTTGAAAAGCTTAAAGTAATCAACTTTTCCAATACCCAAATTGAGAAACTACCCATCGTTAAGACTCTTGAAAATCTGAGCATAATCTTGTTACAAGGTTGTACTGCGTTGTCTGGAATGCGCATCCTCAAAAACGTCAAGAGCATCAAGGTTCTTGATCTTTCAGGTGCAACAAACATAAAAGAAATCATGTATGATTGCTTTGAAGGAGCATCAAATCTTAGAGATCTATCAGAAACTCGGATACAATATTTGCCTCCTGCCATTGGCGACCTTCAGAAACTGCGACTAAAGAAATGTGGTTTGTTAAGAAACCTGCCAGTTCTGAGTGGACAGAAAAGACTCGAGGAACTTGACCTCTCAGGCTGTACGATGCTGGAGGAGTTGCCTGATTTGAGTGATCTTGTAAAACTGAAGATTCTAAACCTCCGTGATATTGAACTTTACAACGAAGAATTGGTGAAATCCTTGAGTAAAATCAAAAGCCTGGAAATACTATACTAAAGGAGGTGAGTTCATCCATTTTTGCTTCTCCTGTATTTCACTAAACGATTGTTTGTTCCGGCACACAACTAACAACATTCCATGTTCATCTTCTTTCTTTGCCCCTTCTTGACAGCCATGATTTCTTCCCGTAACTTTTGATGAGAGGTGGTTCAAGCTTACTACATTGGGAACTGGAGTTAATCTTGCTTGTGTATGTATGTGCTTTATATTGCCCACAGTTTGTGCTAAAAATAAACAGGTTTGGGAGGATTTTATCAACTACTACTCTGTTGTGCTTTATATGTTGCACTTGTTGTCCGTACTCGAGTAGACTAAACCTTGTTCCTGAATCAATTTCTTTAATATTAGTTGGATTTTCATTATTATCTGATACATGTTTAAACATTATCTAAAAATTAATTTTCGAAAAAGAACAAATTAATTTTCAATTTATTTAAAAAGTAAGGGTAAACTACCTATTTAGACACACATCTATTACTCAGTTTCTGTTTTGGTCACCCAATTATCATTTTTTATCACAAAATGAAAAATTGAGACAAAAATGTTCTTAAAAATAATAAGAGTTTAAGTGATTATTTAGTCAAATGTTAGGAGTTTTTTTGTCTTAAAATGAAATGTTGGGGTCAAAATACTCCAAAAAAATAAGATCTAAAATAACTATTTATAAAACGTTAGGAATTTTTCCCGTTATATTTTTTTTTTCCAATTTAAGAATCATATTAAATGTAAAATAAATTTAAAAATGCATTATTTTTAAAAAGTTAAAGTATCTTATATACCATCAAATCTTAGGGTAAACTACCTATTTAGTCACCCAACTATTCTCGCGGTTTTTTTTTATTATGCAACTATTTTTTTAAAATCATACCTAATGTTATGTTCTGATCACTCTTCGTTCAAAAATTAACGGCGATGTTGATGTGTCACCATAAGATAATGTCACATCATTATTAAATAAAAATTAATAAAATTATCACGTTAGTAGTTTTGTTTATTTTTTAACGAAGGGCATCAAAACAGAATCAAAACGTAACGTTATTTATGATTTAAAAAATAATAATTGGGTGATCAAAACAAAACAAAGAGAATAGTTAAATGACTAAATAGATAATTTACCCAAAATTTTATTTTAAAAAAGGATTAATGTAAAAATAAGTACCCAATCTATACCTAAAATTAACTTTATGTGCCCAAATAATTTTTCATTAAAAATAGGTATCTAACATTTCTGACGTTACACTTTTAGGTGCTTAGACTGTAACTCTGTTAAAATAAATCGTTATCTGACACGTATTGTACTTATATTTTCTTAAAAATAAAATATTATTTTTTTAAAAAAACTCAAATTCCGTGCCTCCCCTCCCTAACGACTATTCCCCCTCCCCCGGCCACAATTTCCCCGCCCTTTCTCCCTGTTTTTGGCTCCTAACCCTGCATATGAACACCGATGAAACTAACCCTGCATATTGGTTTTTATTTTTGGAGATTTAGGGTTTTGATTTAGGGATTTGAGTATTAAGATTTAGGTATTAAGAAAGGGTAAATTATGCGTTTAGTGCCTAAACTATCTTTTAGTTCGTTTTAGTATCTAAACTTTTCATTTTTTTCAAAATCATACCTAACGTTTAATTTTTATTTCATTTTACTACCAATCGTTAAAAACTTAACGTACAGGCTCACCGACCGCCGCGTCTATAGTTGTCGACCGTCGTATCCCTCGACTGATGTGGCCAAAACTTTCCAACCCACATCTTTTTGACCCCCTGCTCGTGATTCCAGCCTCTGTTTCACCATAAAACGTCTAAATCTCCTCAAATCGATGATGAACTCTTCGATTTTTTCATCCTTCGATCTCCATGGTGCACCGTCCGATGGGCCTGAAACTAGACTATATTGGTCGACTCGTCATTCTCTCATGGTCCACCGTTCAGATTGATCGTCTGTCCATAAGAACTATGCCACGTCAGTTTGTTTATTAAGTTTTTAACGATGAGATACTAAAATGAAATAAAAACTAAACGTTAGATATAATTTAAAAAAAATAGATATTAGAATAGATCAAAATTAATAATTTAAGTACTAAACACTTAGGGTGCGTTTGGTTCACGGAATATAAGATTACCAGTGGGAATGTAAGATTACCAAGGAATAACATTACTGGGAATGTTGTATTTTGTGTTTGGTTGACTTAGCAGGAATGTAAGATTACCGTGTTTGGTTAAAGGAATAAAAGATTATTAGAATGTATATTTGACTAAATTGTCCTAATTATATATTTGTGTAATATTACAAGTTGAAAAATATTTATATATTTTCTTTAAAAAAAATTAATTCATAATATTTATATTTTTTACAAAATTAAAAATAAAAAAAAGTTTAATGAAAGGGTAAAATTTTATTTTAACCCTTGAACTTCATATAAAATTTTAATTATAGATTTTTTTTTGTAAATCTAAAATAATTTAAGGATAAATTTGTAATTTAACCTTCGTAAAATTTTTATTATTCGATGACAGAAGAAATATTTTTGAAAAAAAAATAAAAATTTAAGGGCATTTTAGTCCAAAACGCTGGTAATCCAACAATACCTAAGGAAATTGAGGTAATGACATTCCCGGTAATATACCCCAAAAAATCTACTATTGGTAATCTTACATTACCGGGAATAGGATTCCCGGGCTGACCAAACGGGGGTATGTGGATTCCATTCCCATGAGAATCCCACATTCCCCAATCCAAACACCCCTTTAGGGGTTGTTTGTTTACCTCTTAATGGAATCATTTAGCGCATTTGTTTCGCATCTCTGAATGATTAAGTGCTGACTGATTCAACAAAACAGTGTTTCAGCACAAAAGTACATTCTGAATGATTCAGAACTAGTAAACAAACAACATGTCACATTCAGAGCTAATTCATCTAGAGTCTCTGAATCATTCAACATTTGAATCATTGCAGTAGAGAAACAACCTAAGTTTATCCTAAAAGAAAATGAAAGGCTTGAGTTTGTTAATATCATTTGGTATCGGAACCCCAAAAAGATGAAAAAATAACAAACAAACCTCAACTCCAAGGAAGCACAAAGTATTGTAAGAAGAAAGGAAGGACAAAACATAAGACACTGATCGGTTACTGAGGTTGTTGTCAAATCCTTCAAGATTCAAGGCATCCAGGTTTTCCTCTTTTTATTTTCTTCCTTTCCTGCTCCGCTTGTTAATTCCCCTTGTTCTCTTCTGTTTCCTTACGTCATTTGTGCTCCTAAAAGATTTCGATCTTCTATTTCGCGACATTTATTACTTCGAACAAAGATGAATGCTTAATGTTCAAGGTTTCATATGCCTTAGCCTTGGGATCATATGAATTTGGGAAAACTGATTTGATTAGGTGATTATTCAGGAAAAATTCATGATATTACTGCAAATTGTTGATTTTTTACACGAGATTTTATTTCCTTTGTTTCCAGGATTGTACTGAAAGCTTCACAAATATGAGATGTTTTCCTCCTCATTTATTATAATTTGCCTCACTAATTTGTACTGATTATTTATGGAAGGAAATCCGTGAGCGTGAGATATGAGTAATACCCAAGCAGCGATCGGTGAAGAATCCAGTGAAGGTGTTGCCCAAATAGAGATCGGCAATCGAGGCAGTACCAAAGAGTTCAATGAAGAAGTCGACGCCCAAGGTAATCTTGTTTTCTAAAATTCTCCCCATTTTTCATTTTTTGTCGATGAATAATATTTTATTGTTCTTCTGACTTTTTGTTTTCAAATAACAGTTGAAAAATTTATGGGGACAGCGGATGGTGGCATGATGAGAACACTGTGTGGTGATGCGAAAGAGAAAATGATCTCACTATCGATTGACAGAAGTTGTCTATGCAGGGAAGTTCATGATACTTTCTTTGGAGATAAGCAGAACCTCAATCTGCTTGCTATTGTTCCTCCCCGGCTTGAATCCCCTGAGGAACTTCCCATGTCTAAAGCGGACAAGCTGCTTGTGCTCATGCTCAGAGGCTCTTACCTGTTGGAGAATGTAAATATTGTTGGAAAACTCAGAGCCTTGACTGTTCTTGAAATATCTGGTTCAAGAGATTGGAAGATATACCTCCCGGCTGACTTTTTCCTTCAAGTGCCCCGACTTCGGAGCCTTGACTTTTCTGGAATTGGGATTGAGTCATTACCTGATAGCTTCTCCGAATTGACTGATCTTCGGAGGCTCGCCCTTAGACAGTGTTCTTCCTTGGAACAGCTTCCAAAGCTGGCAAAGTTCACTAAACTTGAGGTAATTGATCTTTTTGAATGCACAAGTTTGAAAAAGATCCAAGAAAAGAGCTTCATGTCACTTGAAAAGCTTAAAGTGATTAACTTTTCCCATACCAAAATTCAGAAATTACCTATCATTAGGACCCTTAGAAATCTGAGCATAGTCTTGTCAAAAGGGTGTACTGCGTTGACCGGAATGCGCTTGCTCAGACAGGTTTCGAGCATCAAGGTTCTTGATCTTTCAGGTGCAACCAACATAAGAGAAATTATGTATGACTGCTTTGAAGGACCAGAAAGCCTTAGAGAACTTGATCTATCAGAAACTCGGATACAATATTTGCCTCCTGTAGCTGGCAACCTTCAGAAACTGAGACTAAAGAAATGTGAATTGTTACGATATCTTCCGGATCTGTGGGGACATACTAGACTCGAGGAAATTGACCTCTCAGGTTGTAAGATGCTTGAGAACTTGCCAGATTTTAGTGCCCTTCAAAAACTGAGGATTCTAGACTTGCGTGATACAAAACTTTACAGCAAAGATTTGGTGGAATCCTTGAATCATATCAAAGGCCTCAAAATTCTATCCTAAAGGTGAGTTCATCCATTTCGGCTTCTCCTGTTTCTCTAAATGATTGTTTCGCACCCAACTGCTTTAGGCGCAATAACAAAATTCCGTGTTTTACTTTTTTCTTTGAGCAGTTGAGCAGATTGCTCCTTCTTGACAGCCATAATTTATTCATGTAACATTTGATGAGAGGTTGTTCAAGCTTACTGAGAGTGACATTGGGAACCGGAGTTGCAATTTTCTTTGCCAAGTTTTATGGTTTGCTCATTTAAAGTGTGTTCATCTGCTGGACTCGAAGTTTTCCGAACCCTCGGGAGGAGCAGAGCTAATTTGGCTATGTTTATATGTAAAATAAGCTTTCATTTTGTTTTGAAATTGTGATCTTGCTTGTGTCTGTGTGTGATTTCTATTGTGTTCGGTTCGTGCCAAAGACTAAACTGGTGTTGGGAGGGTTTTATCAACTGCTACTCTGTTGTGCTTTATATATTACATCTCTATTCCCCATGAATGTTTCAAAACTAAAGCAATCGGATAGAAAGCTAGCGTAACACTAACAGGGCAGGTGAAACTTAATTTCCACTCCTTTTTTTCCCCCTTGCAAAGTTTCTCCGAAAAAGCTTACTTATTTCCCCATTAATTAATATTTTTTTCGTTAATTCCTTCTTATTTGCTTTTTTCCAGTCGTTGCTGATAAATTGTATGCCAGATCTGTTATAATTTTGCTGCCGCTTTCTGATTCAATATCAGCGAGCAAATTCTACTCTTTTTTGTTCTTCATTAAATTTTAATTCCTATTTTGAAAATGTTTACTCTGTCACTATAATTTTCCTCCCTGATTCTTTGACTCCTTTGTTAACTGTAACAACTGCAATCCAGTTGTCTTGTTGGAGCCACTACTAGCTGTGCTTTTCTTAACTCGGCCACGTGAAAGTCAATCAGATCAGTGATTATGTTGATAAAATTGATAGTGATTCTTAATGCATGTTGAGCTTCTCTTAATGTTCTTGTGTTAAGCAATGAACGGTTTGTTCTGAATTCTTATGAGTCGTGGGTTCTACGTTAGAACCATGATTCAAAGCTATGTAAATAGTTTTCATGAATGAGAACCTTAATTGAGAACGGTTTGTTCTTGTGTTTTTTATACTGCCTTAATTAAGAAGCCTGAGCTTCGGATCATGAAGCTGAATTCTATTGAGTAGCAAACTAGGTTTGTTGGCAATTTGCAGCAATTGTTGGAAGACTTGTGGTGGCATAATGAAGTTGAGAAAGTTGAATAAAATGCAAGAGACGTAACTGAAATGTACAAATGTAGTCTAACGGGGGAGCTAGTTAATTTTCCAAAAATCAATTCCATGATCAGTTTCAAAGGATGCAGGAGTTCTTCCATAGATTTCAAGAAGATAATAGTTCGGACCTCCAAATGTCCATGTGCTTATTTATTGTTTCTATGTCTAAACATGGTTAGTAATGCTGTGTGGCTGAGGCTGGCAATAATTGATTAACCATTTTCAGGTTCCACTCAAGTTACTGAGAGCTGGCTTATTTATTGTTTCTTCATTATAAAATACTTTCTGGACTACATTCTTCTAGTATTTGCAGTTCTCTTCATAGTGTTGTAATCTTGACATAATGCAGGGTGCACAGCTTAAAAAGCACATTGATCCTACCCTGGGCAGCGCAAACATAAGGGAAGCAGTAAGGCTACCCCCGGGGAGGATTTAAATGAATGGCTCGCAGTCAACAGTATATCTCTTTCATTCACCCTCCTTTTTTACTTTCATACACCTAGATAGCACATCCTGTATAATTTGTTTGATATATTTGTAAAATTGTGTATATAATCCATCCATGATTGTTCTATTTTAGTTTAACCATGCTGTTACTCACAGTCATAGCTGCTAATTTATTTTTGTTCCATTCATTAGCCAATTTTTTCTAGAATGATTTTAGTACATTTTCTTCCCTATTTCTAGGTGCCATTTTTTAAAAGCTCATTGCTAAAGCATGATTGTTTGATCTTTTTCAGCTGTGGACTTCTTCAATCAGGTGAACCTGCTCTATGGTACCTTGACTGAATTTTGTACTAATGAGAACTGTCCTACAATGACCGCAGGCCCCAAGTATGATATATAAATTTTTATTCCTTTTGTTCTTTTCAATAAATTTGTTGCACAATCATAAATTTAAATGTTTCATTATTCTGTATCCCTGCATTATGTTTGGATATGTTGTTGGTATTAAAATTGTTTCTTTCAAATGATGGATGGATGTTTGAAGTCTCCCAAGGAATTAAGATAAATTGGGACTCCCTTGACTTATTGTTAGGCTCTTTTATCTCTTTGAAACATACATGGAAATTCCATTTAATTTCTTAGTATATATACATACGTATATTCAGTTGGCTTCCTCCTCCAACTCATTTTTTTAAGTTTAATGTTGATGGGGCGGTCAGTGGTGATGGGCTAGTGGGTGGAATTGGAGGTATTTTAAAGGACTCTAGCTGTAATGTCTTAGGGTCTTTTTTCGAATAGTGTTGGCCCTTGTCTTCCCCCTTTGGCAGAATTGAAAGCACTAGAAAAAGACATTGATTTTTTTCTCGCATCAGCTTGGGCTAAGGAGGGAAGACTGATCATTGAGAGTGACTGTAAAGTAGCTGTGGACTGGATTATGTTGCCGACTTCAGTCCCTCCTTTCTTTAGTTCTTTGGTTGGGAAAATTGTATCTATAATTTCGGAAAGGGAGATTATTGTTAGGCACATTTCTAGAAGTTGCAATTGGGAGGCAGATTCTTTGGCTAAACAAGGGATTGGGTGATTTTTGTCTGTGTTTTGGTTCTAAGTAGTTTGTGTTGGGAGTTTGTTTTTATGCTGGTGTGTAAGGTGTATTTTTTTAAGTAATTTGTACGAGTATGCTTTATTAATAATCGAGGCAGTCTTTTCCCCCTTCCGCTGATTATGGAACACCGATCTGGTGGTCCGATAATCATGAGGGGGGGTTTTAATGAGGCCTCACATTCCTATCAAAAATATATATATAGCTTAGTCTTGTCTGATTAGTGGGAGGAGAGTGAGCTACGCATCATGTTTTCATTGATTTCGTTCGTCCTAGTACTCGGTGGTGGTGTTAGAAAGAAATAAAAATCTGTTTAGAATTGTTCTAAGAGTTGAAGTCCTCATAATCATTTGGATTTGTCCGATAATTAAATTTTTGTTTTCATCTTTAGTTCTTTTACTTTACACTGCCTGATCAGTTATTTAATAATTGGGTGCTTACTATTGTGCACCTTAATTTAGTCCACTCATTTTAAAAAAAAATTAAAGTGTATTTCCTGGGATTTCTGGAGTTGATTATTTGCTATCTTACAAAACTTTACAGGTATGGATATAGATGGGCAGATGGTGTGCAAATCAAGAAACCTATTGAGGTTTCTGCCCCAAAATATGTTGAATATCTAATGGATTGGATTGAAACACAACTTGATGATGAATCGATATTTCCTCAAAAGCTAGGTAATATCTTCATATCATGCGTTTAATCCTCTGCGATGAAGTCTTGACTCGGACATTAATCTTCTGGAGAAAGATAATTGTTTATCTATGTATGATGACATTAGTATTTAATCCTCTTTATATATGTTATTGTGCATTTCAAAATTTCTAGGTTCACCCTTTCCTCCAAACTTCAAAGATGTGGTGAAGACAATATTCAAAAGACTGTTCCGTGTATATGCCCACATCTATCACTCTCACTTCCAGAAAATTGTGAGCCTTCAGGAGGAAGCACATCTGAACACATGCTTCAAGCATTTCATACTGTTTACAGTACGTCTTCTTCTGCTTAATAATTATTATGTTTTTCTTAATTCTTTGCCATTCCAACTATGCACCTTTTTTTATACAAATGCGAAAAACACTCCAGTAAAGGTCAATAGCTTGAAGATGTTTAATGCAACTTCCAGGACAATTAGGAGATGATTCTTTGATGCGGAGTCTAGGCATAAACCTGACTACTTTTTCTCCTAGCCGTCATGAACTCATGGTTTCTTTTTCTTCTTTTTTAAGTAACAAGAGACCACACTAGAGGCTCAAGTTTAACTGTTTAAGATATTAACCTCAACCCTCACCGCCTGCTACCCACCCAAGTTATGAGTCGAGTGATAAGTGTTGAAATTTTTGTGTGATTTTGATGGATTTTGGGTTGTCTTGACTCCTGATATTTATATACACGAGCTCTTATATCGAAGGGGTATTGGGGTGCTGCCGTACCCCTAAAAATATTAGATTCTTTTATATTTTATGTATTCTTCTTGTATTTTATATAAATTACTAAATTCCGCATCTCTGAGATTTTATAATTTCGCACTATGTAAATTTTTAATATAATTTCTTAAGTTTACATCCGGATATAAATTCCACATTCGTCCCTCACTCCAATGATTATTCTAATCCATTTATGGAGGTTTTATTTGGATTCCTAAAGGAGCTTAAGGACATTTATTTTTACTTCTACATCTCGTTCTGCTGAAAATTTTATATTTGAATATAAGTTGATGATTTAAAGAATGGTATACGTTTTTTTGTCCCTTTAAAAAGAATCTTACATTCATACAACTAAACACATCAATCTAACATTCTGGTCTGCTGAACCAAATGTAAGAATCTAACGTAGTTGGGGAAATCACATTGCTATAGCTATTTCTTACTTTTTCTAAACCAAAGGCGGCCGTTGGTCTAAAAGCCGAAGTTTCATAAAAGCACAATCTTATTTAGGCTTGCATCTTGCTACCAGCTAGAATTCGTTGGATTTGAAGGCCTCGGCCGAAAGCTTGGTTGAATAGCAGCCTGGTCTGGAATTCTGAGACGAAGGGGAACCATGCTAATATAGCTATTGGTGCAAACAGTAATACCCCCATCGTATATTCGTACCATCTTGCTAGTGACTTCACCGACCCCCACATTCCTATTCCCATCACCAATGTCCGCCATGCTTGTGATATCTAAATCATCATTTCAAGATCAATTAAAACAAAATCACTCTCTCTTCCCCCACTCCCTAAATTTCCAATATCCAACCGTCATATTGGATCTCAACTATACTTTGAGTCAAGTCCAACTTCAGATCGAGAAAAGAGAACTCTCCAAATGACTTTTTCTATTCGTGAGACTCAAAACAAAGACTAATATCTAAGAGGAACTAAACTCCGTATCAGTAAGCTCAACGATCTCTTACTCTTGGTAATAAGTAAAGCCAATAATCATTGATTGATTTGTTGTAGAGTCTAGAAAAGACAAATAAGGCCAAGAAGTACCTGCAGAAGAGCCCATCCTGTCGGCATAAAGGCGAGCATGCTCTGAAAGATATCTCCAATTGTGAGATCAAGGAGATAAAACAGCAGTGCAATGGTGACTATACACCCCACAAACATGAGTAGCTTAAGAAGTCTGAACATCAGCTGGAAATCTGCACTGAACTTCATTCTGCCCATGGACACGACCTGCAGATTTAAATAGTGAATCGGTTTTTTTGCTATAGCTATTTCTTACTTTTTCTAAACCAAAGGCGGCCGTTGGTCTAAAAGCCGAAGTTTCATAAAAGCACAATCTTATTTAGGCTTGCATCTTGCTACCAGCTAGAATTCGTTGGATTTGAAGGCCTCGGCTGAAAGCTTGGTTGAATAGCAGCCTGGTCTGGAATTCTGAGACGAAGGGGAACCATGCTAATATAGCTATTGGTGCAAACAGTAATACCCCCATCGTATATTCGTACCATCTTGCTAGTGACTTCACCGACCCCCACATTCCTATTCCCATCACCAATGTCCGCCATGCTTGTGATATCTAAATCATCATTTCAAGATCAATTAAAACAAAAATCAACTCTCTTCTTCCCCCCCCCCCCTAAAATTTCCAATATCCAACCGTCATATTGGATCTCAACTATACTTTGAGTCAAGTCCAACTTCAGATCGAGAAAAGAGAAAACTCTCCAAATGACTTTTTCTATTCGTGAGACTCAAAAGAAAGACTAATATCTAAGAGGAACTAAACTCCGTATCAGTAAGCTCAACGATCTCTTACTCTTGGTAATAAGTAAAGCCAATAATCATTGATTGATTTGTTGTAGAGTCTAGAAAAGACTAGACATCCCATAGATCCAGTGTGGCGCAGGTGCTCTTGTTCTTCCTCCCACCAAGATTCCCAGCTCTTAACTGAGGGAACTCCAATGCCACCTCTGCAGCTAATCCACTTTGACCAATCTTCCCAGTCTTCTACTATTTTTTGCCATTCAAATCCCGATGGATTCAAAAGGAAAGGAGCAAACAGCCACGACAAAATTAAGAACCACATTGAAAATGAGAGAAGTGCATAAGAGACAGCATGACTTGCTGCAGAACCATAGATCCTGTAACATATAAGCAACACCATTAGCTCCAGCCCTTTTACAAAGTGACTCCTTGAGTACAAACGGTAGTTCTCTGCAAATTTTTCATGCCGGACCACAAAACCACGCCCTGTTGCTCTGTATTTAGACCCACCATGCAGGATAGTGCGCCCAAAATAGTGGACTCTTGTTCCAAGGGAAAAAGTGAAGAACACAGACGCCAACTGAAGCTGCATGGTTATGATGTCACTTAATGCAGCTCTGAAACCCCTCTCCAATCCGATCTCCATCATCATCGGTAGTACGGTTAAAAAGCCTAATTGAACTATAGATTGGGAAGCCATGGCTGCCTTCAGAGAATCATTTCCCTTGGCTGAAGCAAATTTGACTATTGCCTTCTCTAAACCACTTAGTGACAAATAAAGTCTTCCATACAAGAAAAGGTAGAGTGTAAAGACAACCAACTGCACATTAAAAGCAAGAGATTCAGATTAGCTCTTAAAAGGTAACATAACAGAGTTATAAGAAATGAAACTACTAATTACTGAACTTTCTAATTAATCTGAAGCTCGCATTGCCGGGTCACTCCATAAATTTGATGTTTACAAGGCTGACACTTACAAAGTTATGATTCAGATGACTAGACAATCTATTCTGCTTCAATTTAATTGAAGATTAATCATGGGTTTGAATCATTATAGGAAAAACGAATTACCATTGAGCTGAAATAAAATCCAACTGTTGTAAAGTAGCAGGACAACATGCGGAAAAAGTCAAAGCGATGGCCTAATCTGTAGATGTCTCTGCTGAGTGTCTGTTCCCCATTACCACAAGCCACTTTGGCTTCAAAAAGTGAGATTTGGTTTAACCCAACATCTCTACCTTTCCCAACTTGAATATACTCATGATGAGTAATGTTTCCTCGTCTCAGGGTTGAGTTAAAACCTGTTAAAAGTACAATTAGAAAAAGATAATATTGTAAATTCACTGAAGACTAAGTGGTTTAATTGATGTATGATATTACCAGCAAAGATGTCCTCGCTCAAGTTGATGCCGCGAGAACCCTTGCTGATACCTCCACGGGTTATGTGGAAGATTCTATCGAACACATCTGGATGACCATAATGGAAACGAACCCTAAACCCACCAATAATTTTTTAAGTACATCATCATCATACATTGGAACAAACATTGAGATCACTTGAAGTTAACAATATAAAACTATATAGCTGATATAGGGAGTTTCCATGCGGCTTGCTGTCCTACGAAATAAAACTACATAGAAAGGGAAGAACCGAATAAGATTGCGGTAAGGTGCTTACATTTTTCTCTAAGGTTTTTGTATCTATGATTTATAAATGAAAATGCACTGCCATTCGTTTGTCATAAAGCTTTCTCTCAGCAACATGGTTTTGAAAAATTGACAGTTGATAGTGCTTTTTCTCACGACATAATGGACTTGATATAGTTATAGCAATAGAAAAGCAAACTTTTAGTAATGAAAACATACTTCAGTGGTCTTGCAAGAACTCTTTGACCAATGGTGACAAAGCTTGTTTCTTGATTTGACATGAACCAAGCCAAAGAAGAGACACTGCATATACAGATTTCAAAGCATAAAATAAAGTCACCAGATGTTCCATAAGTAACAACAGATACCAACAAGAACCAAGCAAGCAAACAAACAAATAAGCAAATGTTAATGTTCATTCAGACCTTCCTGTAAAGATATGCTCACGAACTCCTAAAATTGTAGGTGGTCGTACTCCATGATCCTCATTAAATTCTTCCAAAAGATTACGCATTTTGAATGCTTCTTCCAAGTAATTGTCCTGGAAAAAAATTGCTGCGAAATGTTATTGGATCTACTTAAAAATTAAAACTACTTCGATAATTACAAAAAATTATGACCTTACCTGATTCATATCAATGGTTTGAAGAGCTTCTCCTCGAGTAAAAACTAAAGCATGATTCTGATTTTCAGGTTTTCCTTCTCCTAGCTTTGCATTTCCAGGCAACTTTATTCGATAGATTTCCTTGAAAGAAGTTAAACAAAACTAGTCAGCAATTATGGTGTCACTCTAATGGCACATGTTACTCTGTTTGCAGTTTATAAGGATAATTACCTGGTCAAGATTATCAACGCCTTTAACCAGTACAGAATAGTAAACTTTCTGAGGTCTTCCACCTTCCCTTTCTTCAACTTCGTCAATGTATGCCACACGAAGAGAAGGATTACTGTATAAGAAAACGGAGATAGAAAGGAATACTTCCAGACAAAAAGATGTAAAGAAATACATTATCAACAATGATACATACTTAACCATCAAATTCAGGATGTCAGTTGCACGACGGTCTCCACTCCTTTTCTGATTTCCGTAGTTTTGACAGGTAGCAACATAAGTAAATTTCAGGTCAGCGATTGCCTCCAACTGAGCATATAGGGATTTCTGACTTTTCTTATCTTCACTAGATGGAGTTAAGATCGCTTTGTATCCTTCTAATATTTCTGCTTGGACAGCATGAATCAAGGTTTCAGGTCAACAAATCAGGATTTACTAAATTTATGGATCAGGAATCAGGGTTTATGTCAGGATTTAGATCGAAGGCCGGTAAAGGAAAAAAAAACAATGATACTTAAGAATAGTATTTAATGCTACGAGTTGCTAACATGATAAGAAGTAAACGAGCTCATCAGGGAGTGCTGAATTGGAATGCCAGATACTTATCTTGCGGCAAGACTGACATCAAATGATTGACAACAAATTTTCTTATCCATAAATTCCCGAATATAATCTTATTATTATAATCAGCTTCATAGACCCCTAGAAAAAGACCTCTGGGTCTGACATAAGAATTCTTCAAAAATTATATCAACACTTTGAAGAAAATTATGGTGCACTTACCATTTTCAGTAGCCAAGTCCAGGAAAGCCTGAATTATCAAAGCTCGCCTGTAATACATCATCCCTCTAACTGCCATTCCAACAATAAATTGGGAGAGAGATACACAAATTGATAAATCAGTCAAGGGAGAAAATACTTCATTAAGCATCTGTACTGCTCCTGCATAGAGATATATGAATTAAAGGGAGAAACTAAAGCATCAGGTACCTGTCCTGCACAGAGTTTGTCCTCTCAAGGAGACCCAGTGGCGAAGCTGTAAGATTTTTTCTTCATTTTCCAAAATATCATTCTCCTTACAATTGAGTCGCTCAATAAAGTTGTTCCACTCATCTAAACAAAGCCAGTAACAGTAATGGCGTTCAAGTTATCTGAAAGAAAAAGAAACTGCAGGAGATTATAGTACATGGTATTAAATTGAGGCTGTAATGCAGTGTAAGTTGAATCATAATGGTTTTTAAGGTCACCGTGGCACCGAACGTCATCCGAAATTTAAAAATATTGGTATTTTTAAGAAGCAAATCATGTCGGCGACAACAGTTGTGCATCTGCAATATCCGCAACTGTGACACCGCAACCGCAATTTAATACTATGTAGTAGTATGAAAGATTATGATATCACAAACCTGGGAAAATTTTCTGCAGATAGAAAATGAGAGATACACCATCCTCGTTTTTCATCTCAAGTTCAGTTTTGGAATAGACAGTCTCTTCACTATAGTATGGAGTTAGGACACTAATAATGGCAAGAAGGTGAATTCAGTTATTAACAAAAAAGTTAAGACTTAATATATGCTGAAACACAAAAGTATACAATCAAGTTTTAGAACTGCATTGGCAAATTTATGACCTCTGAAAGTAGCATGTCAAGAAAGTAATTCTACCTTCGAATATAGAAAATACCTACATAACAGAATGACTGAGAAAGAAAAAATCAATTCATGTGACGCGCAACCAGAAGTCCAGAATATATGTTCAATGACTAAATTTAGCAGACATGAAATACCTGAATGAAAGCATGTTACGAACTCGAGGAGCACATGGCATATCCATAAATAATGAATTTGCAAAAAATGCAATCCTTCTACGTGCCTCAAGATTTGATGGTATATCAGTGTCAGATTCTTTGACAGTCAAAACGATATGAAGACGTCGCATCTAAAACATGAGATCCTATCGTTAGAAAATGTAAAAGATTCCACTCAAATATAAGTTCTTAGAACCATAATATTTGCTTCAAATAATACAGGTTTGTATATTTTATTTTATGATGTACATGTACCTGTTCTACCCAATGTGCCGTTAGCACAGGAGGGAACGCTATAGCAGGTTTTTCCTCAGTACCAGCAAAAATTTGCCTTCCTGATTCCTTGTTACTATGTCCAAGCTCTACTAATTCACTGTCCAATATTGACAAGAAAAAAATAATAATAATAAGGGACTTTAGCTTATGTAGAAAAAGGCAACCGAAATAGTAATACGTTTTCTTCTATATAGAGCAAAGCAGATTTCACTAACCTAATCTCTTTCACCATCATATCACGGGTAACTACTTCTAACATATCTTGCAGCAAGAAAACCACAGCATCCTTTTTGGAGGGATCCCCATCTTTCTGTAATACAACATAAAAAAAAAGTGAGTATTAAGTATTAACTACAAATGTATAAAAGCAAAACGAAGATATAACTATGTTTATCCTTTTTCATATCAAACTGACCAAGATCCCAACAAGCTCTACGAATTTGTTGCAAAGGACAAGTAAAGGAGCCATTCTGAAATTTGCTAGAAGAGTATTCCTTGAAATGTTACTGTCGATTTCTGTGATGATAATTCTGATGATCCTGTTACATTATAAGTACGTACAATCAGAAAAACCAGCATTGAAGGTAAACAAATAAACAATAATACATGTAGCACACTACTAGATTTTAATGGTTTGAAAATGAAACATCAATCATGAGGAAAATTTTAAATAAAAATCAATAAAGAATAACAACCTTTTCTCATTCTCTCCAACCACCAGCATGTTTAGAATAATTTTGAAAGACTCATAACATTCAATCACAGCACATTTAATGTATTCATCAGCACAAATGCGCTTCCAAAGGTCAGAGTCCTTCGAGCGGAACTGAACTGCCATATCCAATGCAATCGGAATCTGTAGAAGTAGACAGACAGTCAACAAAAACTGAAGCAACTAAACCGAATGGGAGCCTAAGGGACCTTACGGACCTTGCTTGCTAGCAAAAAGGGTGGCCACTGAATTAGTTTCAGCCTAGGATCCGATGTATAAGGAACCAGTAAAAGGTCCATCTCCCTGTTGTAAATAAATACCCAGTCTAAGTTTAACTGCATGTAGAGTAAAACATAATAAACTGAATACGAGTTAAAGTGTTAAACATCTCGTAGAAGGGAAACGTTCCTGTCACTAATTAGGTCTTCTTCACGAAAGCTGCAAATTACTTCATTCCATAACTGAGCGAATTTTGCATTTTCACTTCTTCTATTTGCAGTTACCTGTGCATGAATATGATTCAATCATTAGAGTATATGTTATTCTGTTCGCTTACATAATTGTGCAACAACATAATGATTTCAGGCAGGAGTTCTACCTCAATAAATCGCTTTGATAAAGAGAATCCTCTCTTTATCGATTTATCAGTAGGTACCAAGTATGTATTAAATGCACCAGGCAGGGACTGAAACCGTGATCTTAACATGCCCAAAGTTCTTATCTGAAGAAAAGAAGAGTGTAAGAATAAAAAACTCACTACGTTTTGTGTGCCAGCGTTGAAAAATTAATGCACATTAACAAGTCAGCTCTTGATGTGATCAACTACAAAGTTACTACAAAAACTCTATATGCAACTTGCATGGCTGCAGTGAAAATATAAACTGATAATTGTTTTGAGTCATGGCACTCTTTTCAAATTCTATCTTAGGAAAAAATATTCATACGGAATTAGGCAAAACAAAATAACCTAGAAGAGATAATCCACAATCCAGGTTGAGTCTATCATAAACATGGTTCATCTTCTATCTATCGACAGAGAGCTAAAAATGCAGTTCACCAAACAGATAATTTGTATCAAGCACGACCACAGGATGCCCAGGTAATCTAACCGTGGTCGGTGTCACATATTTTACGGAAGAGAATGAATATTAAGTAAATGGAAAATAACTAATCGGATAAATGATGTCCAACAATCATGGACAGTGCATGAGTTTAGATCAAGAAAGAAGATGGGAAAAAGAGTTATAAACTAAAAATAAAAAGAACTCCAAAGGATTACCTCTCCAAGGCGATCAAAAGCCCCACTAACACCACCAGATATGGTTGAGAAAATAGAATACCAAATTTGAGTGTCCATAAAATAAACCTGCAAGAAATTCCAAAACTTCAATGAAATGTTCACAAGATATGCTATAGTAAGTTGATCAAAAGAACAAAAAAGGAGCTAAGTAGTAACACACCAATAATACTGGTGCCCAAAGTGACACAACTCCTATGTGGTTCTCAGCTGTAATGAAAAGATAGTCATTAACAAAACATTAAAATCAAGCCGATAAAAAAATTCCAATAAAAGAAGAAAAAGAAACAAGACCTTTAGGGAAAAATTCATGCCAAGCATATCTAACATGATGAATGCTCATTATGTCTTTTGTTGGCTGCACCAATGGTTTTATCTGGAGGAAAAGTGCTTAAGGGGTAAAAACGGATCTCAACAACTGAACTGTCTATTTCGAGTGGCAAAATAAAACTTATAACCAAGATCACCTGGACAAAATAGCTGAATGCAAACTTGGCACACAAAAGTAGTATCCAAAAAAGAGTATACCTGAAAGAGAAATAGGTTTAAACGTGATGAAATTTCAACCAACTGAAAAATGGAGGCATAAGCGGAAAGTGTTGTTCCAGGGCATAATGTGTATATATTTTCATACTTACTTTATAAGCACAAACTGACTTTCATGCATTCCCCTTCCAACATAAACTCTAGGCTGCACACAGGGAAACTCAATGAAGAGATGACACAAAGCAGCTGATGGCTTGTCTTCATGATTTTGTTTTTGTTGAAAAATTATAGCTTAATGATATTTAAATTTCTATCTCCTTCATATCTCATGCAATAGCAGTAAAAAAGAGAAGTAGGTTTAAATTTATAGCAGTAAGATGAATGACCAAATGTTGTTAAAACAATAAGAAAATAAGGTTTTGTGAGATTAGAAATATAAGATTAAGAGCAGCTTTCTTATAGATTGATAATTCAAGACTCTTGACATATACTGAGTTTAAGATAAAAGTTCCAGTCATATGTTTTTCTCGATATATACGGCTTTCACTATATGATTCATGAAAGCCATTCTATATTAAATTGACAAAATCCGATTCAAAATCATGAATCTCATATGATATAAGAACCTAACATTGAAATATACGGAAATGGAACGTATTCAGTACCTGTGACCACCATAATAATAACCTAATAATGTGCCAATCTGAGTTTTCAATCCAACGCCGGAGCATTGGAAAAATGAACAGCGCAACTGTCAGTAAATTTGGAAGCAAGTATAGCGCCACAGCCATGATATATAAAGGAGAAGCACCCTTTACTTGATTAAGAAACGATAGCATATCTTTCTCAGGGACAAAAGACAATTCAGGCACATAGAATTGAGGAAGAATGATGACCCATGCAATACTGACTATTATCTTGAGAACGTTTCTCAATACGTCAGTGAACCTCCACCTATGATATCCTGGGAAGTTGAGAGCAACGTCCAAAACACCTGAAACAAAGGAAATCAAAGTTATAAAGAATTAAGCAGAAACTTTAATATTACCCTCATAGAGGAGACGTTAAGGACGTGCAGAAGAACAAGTTCAGAAAATTGAGAAGAAAATAATCAGTTTCTTATTTTCTTTTTCTATCACGACTCCATTTTTATTAGTTTATACAATAATATTAATAACCAGAAAAAAAGACGCTTTTCAATTATATTTAGATTCTTCAAGGAAATAAAATATAAAACGCTCCAATAATCTTTATTATCTAATGGAAGTCAACCTTCTTAAATGTGAGTAATATTCTAGTCTTAGCAAATCTCACTGAATATTTAATGTATCTATAAAAACAAGCAGACTCTATTGTCTTTTAAGAAGCCAGAGGCACAAAGACTGCAATTTAAGTAAGAATATTTAATAAAATCCCGAAGGAAAAAGAGACTTTGTAGAAGTTTGCAATTTAAGTAAGAATATCATACTCTGAATGAAACGCAGAATGGCTGCTGTGATGAAAATACTGGATATGTCATACAATAAATCCTTTTGAAAGATTCCTGTTAATGAAGCTCCACTCCATGCAATAATGATCATTACCTGCATATAAAATATTGGAATATTAATATGTACACTCATCAAAACGACGAGAAAAGGTAACATTTTAGTACCTGCAAAGCTAGAATATAAAAAGTCCATAGCCGATCAAAACTTCGAAATAGGTGCCAAAATGTTCTAATCTCTACAAAATTGGATTTGCCTGGGCTTTCGCATTTTCTTCGAGAAGTTTTCTTTCCCTGGCAAGGTAGCTGTAATTAAGTGCACAATCACTAGCTTATATAAGAAAAGGAATACCATATCACGGGTTGATTGGAAAAAGTCACAATCATCACGCATGGGCCATCCAAGAGAGAAGCAATCAGAAGACCTGAAAAAGATACAGAAATAGTAAGTTAGAACTAAAAAAGAATCCCTGAAACCAATTAAATTCCGATTTTAAAACCATACAAACCAGAAATACTCGTTCAGATCGTCATAATTACACCAGTCTGCATGAGAAGCAGTTCCATTTTTGTTCTTTTCGGCTTCCTGCAATATTTGAACTCTGTTATTTGTATCTAGAACACAATGTCCAAAGTCTAAGAACAATTGGTAAATTCGTTATCAAGCATACCCTTTCAATGACACAGTAAATCGGTGTTATAACCTTCCGCAAGAATGCCTCATCATCTCCACCATATGATGGCTTGATATTTTCCCCAGTCACGATGCTAACATTTCCAGCCAAAAGGCCTTGGAGTTCATATGCCATCTGAGAATACAGTGGGATGCAATTCAAAACACTAGAAACCATATATTTCTTGAAAAGAAACATTAGGAGAATAAAAGGCTGAACTTTGTAGAACAGAAGCAGAAGGTAACATTTTGATATTCGAAGAATACTCACATTATGAAAAATGTAGCACAGACATTCTGGCATGTATCGGACATTAGCTGCTTCACCCCAGATGAGAAGATATAATCCTACATATAGTATCTTCCTCTGTTGTGTTTCTTGAGAGCTTTGAGGCAGCCTAGACATAAATAATCAGTACAAAATTGTATCAGTTTAATGGAGAGTAGAGTTAGACAGCACAACAGTAATGTGTGGAAACATCCACTCGTAATTAGATGTATAAGCTTTTATTTTTTACCTTAAACTATTTTTACTTCCTAAGAATTTGCACCATGCTTTATAATTCTTGAAAAGCTTGCTCATAACTGCATCAACGGCTCGTTCATCAAGCTGGATATAAGAAACATGTTTAATCAGGCATTTTAGAAAAGAAAACTCCTTATGAAGAATATCAGACATGAACGCCAGACAGATATTCACTTCCATGATCATAAGCTTAGAAGAACATCTAAGTGAAACTATATATAATCTTCCATTAGAAATTTCAGTAACCACTAGCACACTTGAAAAAAAGATTAAACACTTATGCGTACCTTATCAAGAGGTTCAGGCTTGGGGTGGAGTCTTATATGATTATTGGCAAGCAACAAAATCAAGTGCTCCCTCATGTTCCTGACATTGTCCCTCTGCAGTGAACAATGTAAGCCAAATGCATGATATTTGAAGAAGACTGTTTATTCATTCAACCACAAGCCTTTTGGCATGTGGGTGTGGGGAGTTCAAAACATGCCTGGAATCCAAACATGGCTCTTAACCAATCCAGAAGGTCCAAGTCCCCAGTTTTTTTCCTTTGTAGCTCAAATCCCACAGGCCAATTCAAGCCACAGATGTTCCATAATGCAGCTACAGAAGCCTTAACCTGTATTAAAGTAAAGTTCAAGTAGCATCCAAAAGTATACTCCGATAAATAAAATGCTGGAATGACACTGACACGTGTATAGTTAGTTCAAAGGAGGTCATTAATGGAACTTTGAAAAGAAAAAAGCTCCATGCTTCTTCTCACTTTAATCCACAGATATGAATAATATATTTACTGAAAGAACCCAAACACAATAAATTTCAATCGTAAATGAATAATTATATCTTATTGATAAGTTTAAATATCTACTTATAGCGAATTTTTTATCATTTTTTTTTATTTTAAAACATTTATATTTATTTTATTTTCTAACATATATTAATGCATAAATGAATACTAGAGAGTAATTCATACATATTATTATAATAAGATTATTTATATATGCATAGATTAGTTTACAATTTAATACTATGCTTCAATTTGCATAGTAACTTTATTTGGTTATACAGTCATATATCTTAATTTATTTATTTAAAAGAAGCATTTTAAGTATACTAGTCATGTCAACAATATCTAAAAATATAGTTAAAACCTCAATTTAAATTTTTAAATTTTAGGAATGAACGACTTATAAATTATAAGGAGAAATACATTATTATATCTAAATATATACTAATTTAGGGCGACTGCCCACCCTTTCTTTCGGTCCATCTCTTAATATGGGTATAGGAAAAAACTGTAGATGACAATTTTGGAACAAAGTTTATTCAACTGTTCTTATATTATTACAACCGATAATAAAATGCTGGAATGACACTGACACGTGTATAGTTAGTTCAAAGGAGGTCATTAATGGAACTTTGAAAAGAAAAAAGCTCCATGCTTCTTCTCACTTTAATCCCACTAGATATGAATAATATATTTTACTGAAAGAACTCAAACACAATAAAATTTCATCGTAAATGAATAAATTATAATCTTATTGATAAGTTTAAATATCTACTTATAGCGAATTTTATGTTATCATTTTTTTTTATTTTAAAACATTTATATTTATATTTTATTTTCTAACATATATTAATGCATTATAAATGAAAATACTAGATAGAGTAATATTCATACATGATTAATAAGTATATTATTATATATGCAATAGATGATTAGTTTACAATTTAATACTATGCTTCATTTGCATAGTAACTTTATTTGGTTATACAGTCATATATCTTAATTTATTTATTTATAAAAGAAGCATTTTAAGTAGTACTAGTCATGTCAACAATATCTAAAATATATAGTTAAAACCTCTCAATTTAAATTTTTAAAATTTTAGGAATGAACGACTTTATAAAATTATAAGGAGAGAATACATATATAATATATCTAAAATATATACTAATTTAGGACGACTGCCCACCCTTTCTTTCGGTCCATCTCTTAATATGGGTAATAGGGAAAAAAATCTGTAGATGACAATTTTGGAACAAAGTTTATTCAACTGTTCTTATATTATTTACAAATAAACAATGAAATAATGTATTTGATTTTCATATGTTTTATAATGTTGAAATTTTATGCTAATTTCTTCATAATTTAAGGTGTCCATATATTATTATATAGTGCTAATTAAATATGATTTTATTCACTTCTTAATCAGCTGAATGGTACATGACATTATGTATTGTTACCTCCTGAAGCTGCATGATAGACTGAGAAGATCCGGCAGCATCCAAAGGAAGAATGTTGTAGGGGGTATAGATTTCCTTCTTTTCTTGGACATCTTTGGCAGTTGCCATAATCTGCCCGAGGAAGTATCGTTGAAAATACATTTTTATGCAATCCAATTGACAATATTATAAATCAGCTGTTTCATTTCCTTAGAAACATGATGGAATTACTAAACACGGGACTAACCTCTGGAGCAACTTCTTCAACTTTCTCACTTTTATTAACGGCAAAGAGCACTTCAAAAAGCACTCCGGCTTTTTGGTAAGCTTTCTCAAGTTGAGCTCTGTCAACAAATTGGGGGGGGGGGGGGAATTAGTTGATCAAGTGTGGTGGAAACCATTGTAGCTCAGAAATTTAACTTTAATTAAAATACATATTAATTACCTGTCTGCCTGGTCTCCGTCGTCTAGTACTCTAACATAGTGTTCGTAATATTGCTTATAATAGCTCCCAATTTCCATTGCATCAGTCTTTTCAACCCGAGAGGCAAGACTGGATTCATCGCCCTGGGTCCAAAATATTTCCCATTGTTTTGTAAAAATGTTTAGAGAAAAATTATGCATTCAACTTATCCTCGAAATGAAAACGAAACATGGAAAGCAGACCGATGAAACACTGCTCAACTGTTGTTATCATCTCATCCCAAAGAATAGAAGAAACAGAAAAGGAAAGGCAACGGAAATCTCCGCTAAACGCAACTGAATATCCAAAACAAAACCAAATCAATGAAGAAATGCGAATAACTTTACCCTCTCTATTCTTTGCCGCAAGCCAGTCTTGAACTGCCTCACTCCACGTCCGGAGGAGTTGGGATCCAACCTGTCTGCTTTCTCAAAGGCATAGAAACGACCTGTTTATTTCGCGCAATAGTTTATATATATATATACACACACACACAAAAAGTCAGAAAAATGAACTTTAATCTAGAAAACTTAAAGCATGAAAATGGAAATAACAAAAGAACAGGAGCACAGTTTTAGACGTACAGAGATAGGCGACGCGGGGCCGTTCAGGTTCGATCTCTTTCGCAATGCGGAGGATGGGAGCGATGGAACTAAGAGCGGAAGGTACGACCTCATTGTCAAACACCTCCATTGAGAACGTCGTGGTTGAAGCGCTCCGCGACGGCCTCCTTGTAATCCCTTTCGGGCCCGTTTCGGTATTCGTCATAACGTACCGAGTTAACTCGTTATCTTGAAACAAAGCCTTTCTCAACTCCCTACTACTCAAAAGCCTACAGAAAACAGAAAAGAAATATATTGAATAAATGTAGCCGAGTGATGCAGATTGAGAGAGCAGAAAGCTCAAAATCTCATTTCATTTAGGGTTTGAAAAGCTACCTTATCGGAAACCGGAAGCCGAGAGAGTGCTTGCGTCGGTGACAGAAGGAAGAGGAGAGGATATAGCACTGTGGCGACTGGCGACACTTAACAGAAAATGGAACAGAATAGAGAATTTGTGAGAGAAAGAGCAGAGAAAAAAAAGTGAGAAATTCAGAGAAATGTAGCCGAGGAGAAAATCGATATTGTCAGAGAATATCAGTACCAGAATGCATGTATCAGCTATATACTCTTATTTGCATGTCATCTGAATTCCCGGATCCTAAGAATAACTACCTATTGAACGGAATTACGAAAATGACACTGACTCCATGCAGTGCTTTATTCATCGAAAATGACACACGCTTTAAGAAATAATATTGTCCCCTTTAATTTTTGAGTTGTTTAATTTTATTTATTAATTTTGTAAAAATTATATTTTAATCATTTATATTATTTGTTCATTTTATTCAATGATTAATATAAAAAATATTTTATCGGATGAATTAATATAAACATAAAAAGAAATTTGTGTAATATAATTTGTATATATTTTTCAAAAAAATATCTAATAATAACTATATATATTTATTTATTTATTTAAATTGAATCTTGAAATATGTATCAACTAAGTTAATATAATTATTAACATAATTTATATATATATTTATTTAAATTATATTTCATTTTGTTGGATTTTTGCGATATAAGATGAGTCATGGCCTTGGTGCACCCATTTCTAAATATGCCACTGATTATATTTTTTTGTCATCAAGTTGTTAATCTCCGAAAGTGTAATGATGTGACATATTAATAAAAATGATTTTTTAATTTAATTCATAAACTTTAAACTAATCACCATTATTGTTGTCGTCCCAAACTTTGTCACCGTTGATTGGAGATGATCAAGAACACTTGTCGCAAATTCGTTATTCTTCCAATTCTTCTCGCTCCTCTTGTGCCGACGACAATAACACCAAATCACCAATACAAGAAGCAGCTCCAGGAACAGTACCAACACAATCGATTGTGTTGATATTTGTTGTTGTTGTCTTTGTTCCATACCAAACCTTTTAGTTTAAGAATTCATATAACGAGCTTAAACGATGAAGATGAATCGTCCAATGATACATAAAAAACTTCCACTCTTTGAATTTGTTTTCCAAATTCAAATCTATTGCAATCATTTTCATTTAACGAAAGTACAACAACTTTCTAACAAGCTTCGAAGACTCAAAGTTGACTCAACATTGGAGCAAACACACATGATAACAGAAAACAAATCATTGGGTTACAAAATGCAAGCCTGTTAAGGAATGATTATACAGCTGATCACATTGCATGGAATGATGCATGATGTGCATGGAGAAGGTTCAAGAAGCTTGCAGTCAGGCTCATGTGCAAGGAGTGAATTGTGCTGCAGATGATCAAAATCTCAGGCTGTTAGGAGATGTTATCTTTGTCAATAATTTTAGAAAGGTTGTTTCATTGTTCAACAACTAAAAATTATATAAACAATGTAATCCGTATCAAAATAGCAATGAAAAAAAATGATGCATTAGTTTCTTTAATCAACTTTACAATTTTTAACATGGTATCAATCGCTGAGGGTCATGGGGTCTTGCCTTTCATTGTTGCTTAGTTTCTCACCTCTTTCTGAGGATCATCCAATAAAGAGATTAATGTGGTATTGGATGAATCAAATTACATGCTATGGAAATAGCATGTTCTTCTTACGGTGCACAATCATCGTTTGGAACGACTTCTTAATGGAACCATGCCTATTCCACCTGAGTTCGTTGTTAATGCTGAAGGTATATCTGTTGTTAACGAGGCATATGAGGATTTCATGGCATAAGACAGTGCTCTTGCCTCGTGGCTCTTGTCAACGATCAGTGCTCATCTTCTACCTCAGTTTGTTGGCGCTGAGTCTACAGCAGCTGTCTGGAGCACAGTTATCAAGTTCTTTGCCAATAAATCAACAACTACAGTGATGAATCTGCACTATAAGCTTCAATAGCTAAGGAAGGGTGATAATTCGATGCGTGTGTACCTCACTCGCATCAAAGAAGTTTATGATGCCCTTGCATCCTATGGCAGTCCGGTTTCGCAGGTTGAACATGTAGTAAGTATCCTCAAAGGGTTGCCAAGAGAGTATCAGTCTTTTATGCCTGAAAATCTTCCCATGAGTGCAAGTGTGGTTCAAGGACAATTACATGGTGGACTACAAGATCTGGAAATTCTTATGAGTTCAAACAACAGCTTTCAACGATGTGTGGTGGTCGAGCTGGTGGTAGAGGTCAAACACAACTTCAATGTCAATTTTGGTAAGAATGGTCATTCGGTTGATAGATGATGGTACAGATTTGACGTGATTTTGTAGGAGTCCTTGCCACTAGTGCTCGGTCATAGTACAAGGACGAGTCGAGCAGTGTTAACTATGTTAACCTTGATAATGTTGCTTGTACATGTTGTGCCAACAAGACTGGAGCAGACTCTGTGTCTACATAAGCAAGTGTGGCTCCTGCTGCAGCTCTAAATTCATCACGTACTCAGTGGATTATGGACTCGGGTGCGACGCATCATGTCACTCCTGATGCCTCCCGTATTAGTTATCCAACAGATCTTGATGGATCGGGTAATCTTGTTGTTGGAAATTGATCTTCTCTTACAGTTAAATTAACAGGTCGATCTGTTTTAAGGTTACCTTCTCAAACTTTTCTCCTTAATGATCTATTGTATGTCCCTAAAATTATTAAACACATTCTCTCAGTTTCGAAGATTGCTAAGGATAATCACATCTACTTTGAATTTCATGTTGATGGTTGTAGTGTTCGACATGAAGTAAAAAGCAAAGTCATTCTTCGAGGGAAGCATACAAGATTTCTCTATTCGTTTACTTTGGATAGTCAGTTGAATGGTTGTAATAATGCAGAAGCTTATACAATACATGATCATTGTAATTCCTTTGAACTCTGGCATATGAGATTAGGTCATCAGTTTTTTCTACTTTGAAATTGGTTTGTAATTCCATTTCTGTTAACATTCCAAGTAATGCAAATCAATTGTGCTTACTGTTTGGGTAAAAGTCACAAGTTGCCCTTTGTTGATTCAACCACAATTTATGATATGCCATTTCATCTTGTGTTAACCGATCTTTGGGGGCCTTCACCTGAGCCTTCAGCTAGAGTTCGTTATTATATCTCCTTTGTAGACGCGTGTACTAGGCATACATGGGAGTATCTGTTGAAAAAAGTCACAGGCGATTGTTGCCTTTAGATTGTTTAAAACCATGGTTCAGAATCAATTCTCACTACCAATCAAAGCAATACAAACTGATTGGGGTGGTGAATACATGAACTGGTCATATGGGTTAGATCGTGAAGGTGTTTTACATAGAGTCACTTGCCCTCATTCATCCGAGCAAAATGAGGTTGTTGAGCGTAAGCACAGATACCTAATAGAGTTGGCTCTAGTGCTTTTGGCTCAAGCTTTACTTCCAATCAGGTTTTGGTCTTATGCAGTAACCACAGCTGCATACTTAGTAAATAGATGTCAACCAAGGTGTTAAACAATGTTTCTCACTTTGATAAATTATTTTCCAAGAAACCTGATTATAAAACCATGCAAGTTTTTGGCTGTAGATGTTTTCCACATCTGCGAGAGTTTCAACCTCATAAGTTAATGCCATGATCTCAAGAATGCATATTTATGGGCTACAGTTCTCAACATCAAGGGTTTCAATACCTTGGAACAAATGGTTGAATTTTTATTAGTAGACATGTGAAATTTGATGAGCTTATTTTTCCTTTTGTAGCTGATAAACAATGTAATGGTCTTCGTGTGGTTACCTCACCACGGTCAACAACACTTGATATTATTCCTAGAAGACATGCTGAATATCCTCCTAAAGTGGTCCATTCTCTGGAATCTACTAGTATACATTCTCAGACAAGTCAAACTGAGAATGAACATGTGATTGAGTCAGGTGATGTGCATGAATCTTCATATCACTCGACTAGAAGTCCACAACTCAGTACAGCTCCACTGGTCATTACTGAAGGAGCTCCCGAGCCAGCTTAGCATTCTCTTGAAGTTGATATTATGCCTGATCAAGTACCCTTAATCAACACTTAATCAACACTCATCCAATGGTTACTAGAAGTAAGCATGGTATTTCAAACCAAATGTGTTTTTTGCTAGGGAGGATATTGTTATTCCTGTTGATATTCATCAGGCTCTATAGTTCATTCAATGGACATCAGCTGTTCATGATGAACTTGCTGCTTTACAATGAAATGGAACATGGTCATTAGTTCCATTACCAACTGGAAGAACAACAGTTGGCTGTAAATGGTTATTCAAATTGAAGAAAAATCATGATGGCACAGTACAACATTACAAAGCAAGGCTTGTTGCCAATGGGTTTCTACAAGTACCTGGACAAGATTTTAAAGAAACTTTCAGTCCAGTAGTTAAGTTTCCAACCTAAACGTTATTATATCTATTATTATAACTAACAACTGGCCACTACCACATGTGGATGTTAATAATGCATTCCTTCATGGTGATTTGAGTGAGAAAGTATTCATAAAGCAACCAACGAGCTTTGAAAAGGTGGCTGAGGATGGCACTAAGCTTGTATGTAAGCTTCATAAGGCTTTATATGGGCTGCGTCAAGCTCCCAGGAACTGGAACAACAAATTAAAAGAAAGTCTAATACATATGGGATTTCAAATGTCAAAGGCAGATGCATCATTATTTGTCTCACTTGTTCAAGGGGAAGTAACATATGTACTTGTCTATGTAGATGGCATTGTGATCACTGGTCAATCTACTACTGCAATAGATCAAGTAGTTCATGCACTCAGAGTCAGTTTTTCATTAAAGGACCTTGGTGAGTTGTATTATTTTCTAGGAGTTAAAGTTCAGCGCAGTAATGATGGAATAATGTTGTCTCAAAAGAAGTTCATTTTAAAAATGTTAGCAAAGTCTGGTTTGTCAAAGGCAACACCTACCATCACTCATATGGTATTCACCAATAAACTTCAAAAGGAAGCAGGAAAACTCATTGAAGATGCTCAAAAATTTTGAAGTATGGTTGGAGCGTTGCTCTATGCCTGCCACACGAGACCTGGCATAGTATATAGTGTGAGTAAGGTTACTCAGTTCATGCATGAACCACGTGAGAATCACCTATTGGCTGCCAAACACATTATGATATCTAGATGGCATTATTGAATACGGTATCTAGCTAGCAGTGAGAGTAGTTGCATTTGCATATGCTGATTGGGGTGGTTGTGTGGATGATCGAAGATCCATGTCCGGTCAGTATGTTCTAGTTGGTGGTAACTTAGTGTCCTGGAGTACAAATAAGTAGAAAGTTGTCTCTAGATCCACCATGGAAGCAGAATATCACAGCCTAGCAGATATGGTTGCAGAAGTTACTTGGATCGATGCATTGTTGAATGATATTGGAGTAATAGTTGGTGGTAACTTAGTGTCCTGGAGTACAAATAAGTATAAAGTTGTCTCTAGATCCACCATGGAAGCAGAATATCATAGCCTAGCAGATATGGTTGCAGAAGTTACTTGGATCGATGCATTGTTGAATGATATTGGAGTAATAAGGCAAGAAAAACCGATTGTATGGTGTGACAACACAAGTGCAATATCCTTAAGTGCTAATCATGTTCAACATTCACAATCTAAACATGTAGATTTAGATGTGCATTTTGTCAGAGAAAATATTGCTGGAAATCATATGTTTATTAGCTATGTTCCTGCTGCACATCAACTTACTGATGGGTTCACAAAGCCGCTGTCAAAATTAGCATTTGCATTATTCCGAGAGAAGGTGCATGTTTGTCTAACAAAGGAAGGAGGAAAAAAAGTAGGAGGAATGTTAGAGGAATGATTGTGCAGCTGATCACGTTGCATGGAATGATGTATGACGTGCATGGAGAAGGTTCAAGAAGCTTGCAGTCATGCTTATGTGCAAGGAGTGCACTGTGCTGCAGATGATCAAAATCTCAGGCTGTTAGGAGCGGTTATCTTTGTCAATTATGTTAGAAAGGTTGCTTCATTGTTCAACAACTAAAAATTATATAAACAATGTAATCTGTATCAAAATAGCAATGAAAAAAATGATGCATTAGTTTGTTGAATCAACTTTACAATTCTTAACAAAGCCCATACTCAAACACATTTGGTTGAGTATTACTCGTCATTATCTTCCTCATCACCCTCAGCTGACTCAGCACCAACTTCTTCATAATCCTTCTCCAGTGCTGCAAGGTTCTCACGAGCCTTTGAGAATTCACCTTCTTCCATACCTTCGCCAACATACCAATGAACGAAGGCACACTTGGCATATATGAGATCAAACTTGTGGTTGGAAATCATTGAAACGATTCTTTGGACCTTAGCAAGATCACCATCAAGCTCACAAGCACAGGTTAGTTTTGTGTTGCAATGGGAATTTCCTGGTGAACTATCATTAGTGGCCGAGGAGGTAAAATTCTATGCTCCTTCAAAAAATTGTTGTAGTTAGAAATGATAATGGGGACAATATTAGAATTTACTTCATCTACTTTTACCTAGATGTGTTTAGAGTTAAGTTCGATTATTATCTAATTTTTTTTATACATCTGACCAACCCAAATTATTTATTTTATTTAAAAAATAATAAAATGTTTTATATTAATATTAATATATTTTATAATTAAATTTAAATAAATATTAATTTAAATTCATTAAATGATCCCAATGATAAAAATAAATGTTATCTCTTTAGAAGATTTGGATTCGAATAGCTGTATTTATAAGATATATGTATGTCATGTTAGAAAAAATATAAATAGCTACTATCTTATAATCCCCTCGTACTATTTAATTTTATTATTTAGATTTTAATTTAAATTGAGTCAAATTAACTCAAATTTTAACATTTTTATCAAGTCCATCCTAGTCAGTTCTTACCTGATGGGCCCTTGATGGATTTACTTCCTCCCATGTTTGTATAGAATAATAGGTATTAATTTGAAAAGACCCAATTTCATAGAGGCCGTATATATCCATAATAGCCTACATCATTCTCCTATGTCGTTTCACTGATTTTTTAATTAATAATATTTTGCTTTAATATTATAAAAATATATATTTATAATTTATTCATGAAAATGATTTTAATATATAATTTATTCATATAATTCTTTTTTTTCTTCTAAACGATGTTTAGATAATCTTTAAGATTTGAATGACCTTCTAGTTGTTTTTGTCATTTTTAATATCATGTAAAACGACACTCCTCACTGTTGTCCTGTCGATATGAATTTTAAGTCATTGGTACCCACCGATTCAATGGAATTACAAATAATTTATTTATTTTTGTTTAAAATAAAATTATATAGGGATGGACATGATCCGAACCTGATTCGACCGACTCGAAATAATAATAAAAATATTATTTTTATTCAATAAAAACGATGATTTAATTGAAAAATAATATATATAGGGTATTATTGTAATTATTCCTAAATATATAAGGTATAATTATATTTTCCCCGAATCGGGTCAGATATTTTTCACTGAAACCCAAATTCGACCCGACCAGATCCGACCCGACCCGAATCTAATTTTATTTTAAAAAACGACCCGATCTTTTTCTCCCATGCTCATCCCTAAAATTATCCCATCACTCTTTATTAATCTAGTGAGATAATTCTAATCCTTATTAATAAGACATGCCGTGTGGTGTAAATTAACAGATTCAAAATGGAACTTAAAATATTATACCTTACGTTCGGATAACTAATTAATTACTACTAATATAAAAAGTTAAGAAATATATTCGTGTAATTTTATTTGAATTGTTAAAATTAATTGAAAAATAAGTGAAAGAAAAATAAATCTGGTAAAATTAAATATTGAAAAAAATAAATTATGACATATAATTAAATTATGACATATTAATAAAACGAATAAATAAAAAGTATGTATATATAAATAAATCTATTTATCAAATTTAACCGATAAATAATTAAAGATAAAATAATATATATATATTAATTAGTTTTATGTTTGATTTTAAATAAATTTTTAAATATTTTATTTTAAAATAATATACAAATCCATAAAACACAAAAACGCTCTTAAAAATGATTTTCAGTTATTTGTAATTAAATTAGTATTGTATTAACTAATGATTTTAATTTAATCAATATATATCGCAAATATTTTCTTTTGAAAAACTTAAATATATTGTAATAAATTATATAAAAGTAAAAAAAAATACTTTTCCTTGCTCTTTATTTCCAGAATTGAATTTCTTTCACATTGAAAAATTGATTTACCTAAAATTCCTAATTTTCTTTACCATTCTAAGCTATAGACATTTGTAATTTTTCTGGTAAGTTAAAACCTAGGGTAATTATGTTGTATAGTAGCCCAATTGGTAAGGGATGGTAGTAAATGAAGGCAAACTAAAATGTTACAAAAAAATATAATATTTTTGGTTAAACATAATTTAAAATGTTAATTTTTTCGTAATGTTTTTTATTATATCTAAAATATTATAAAAATATAATTTTTTTCGTTGTCAACTAAAAAAATTAAAAAATTTAACATTTTAAATTATATATAACTGAAAATATTAGACTTTTTATAATATATTTGATTGTGCGCATTCATTGTCGTTCCTTAAATTAAATTTACGTCCACCTTCCCTAAAATCTAACCTACCCTTGCGGCTTGCACTGAGGCAAGTGGTGTTCATATGGGAGCCGCATGGCATGCTATAGTAGATTGTAGAACAGTAGAATTCTCTAGAGTCTACACTCTAGGCCACTTCCTCCACCGGCCTTGCCGAATAGGCTCAAAACTTCAAGACCCAAACAGGGGTGGGGGGATCATTTTCTTGGTTTTAGAAATTTTTATTTAATGGAAAATATTCCATTTGTATTAGATGAAAAGGATTTAAAAACTATTTTAAAGTAATATATTTTAAAAACTATTGAAATGACTATCTAGCTCAATTGGTAGAGCACAAGGTTTTTAATCTTGGGATCGTGAGATCGAGTCCCACGGAGTACATTTCATAATTCAGAGGTCTTCTACGGAAGTTGCTCTTAACCTGGTGTGGGGGGCCAGCCTATTATCTTACCTCCGCTTGCCCCATTACATATGGGAATGGACAACCTATTATTTTACCTCTCCTTACCCCATTACATATGGGAATGAGGATCAGCTAATTTTTTTATTAACAAAAGTATTTTAAATATATAAAAATAATTTTAATTACTTACTTCAAAAAAATAATTTAATATTTAAATTAAATAAATGATATGATTTACTTTTGAATTAAACCAATTGAAAAAAAAGCATTAGGGGAACGACAAAAAAGTAGAAGAAAAAAGTTTAAATATTTCTTTTTAGGGTTTTGAGAGGCTTGGGTTGGGATTTATTTATTTAATATTGTATTTATTTATTTATTTATACATAATTTATTATATTTTATCTTTATTTTTAATTTTTTTGACTGACGGAGATCTTCCACGGAAGTTGCTTTTAATCTGACGTTGAGGGTAACATACTACTTACCTCTCTTATCCCATTATATATGAGAATAGGATTTTATTATCTTAAAAAAAAACTAAGCTTTTTCCTTTTGTACATCAAGGAAAGAAAGAAAAGATGAAAAGAATAATCTCTTTTATCATCCTTTTATGTTTACTACTTAAAAACTGTAAGTAAGACATTAAAGTATCATACTTTTTCTTCTATTGCCTGATTTAAAGGCGTTGTTTGAGGCATCTCTGCTTTAAGACTTTCCTATGAAAAGGATGGGAGTATAAAATGGAGAACTAGAAAATTTCTAATACTTTTGTATACATATAAGGATTTCTAACGAGAAAACAAAGAATATGTGGAACCGTCATGAATCAACACAAGAACCCAACCCAATAAGTAACAAGTGTTAGCAAATACAATCCCCAGAAGAACAGTCATGCTCTTTGGTTAAAAAAAAGTCATGCTCTGATTAAAATATTCATAACCCATTTAATTATAGTGGTAATAAGTAGTTCTTATATGAACAAAAGGAAAAAGTAGTTCTTAATTATTGCTTGACAGATCAAAATCCATTAGTTTCCCACTTGAATAGTGGCAGAAAGATAAAATATAGCAGTATCTATTGTAAATATATTTTATATGTTACTTTCTGTCTGTTACTTTTCCTTCTGTTATAACAAAAGCAGTCATTAGTTTGGAGTATTAGCCTGGGGTGGTTGTCTCGCTTCTTGTGTATCCTTTTGTATCTTTATCTTCTTTTTCAAAACTTTTTTCACATCATATGCTTTGTTTTTCCTAAAGATCTGCTTTTTGTAGTTTTCGTCTCCAATGGCTACTCTTGGTGATATTGGGGTGTCTGCCTTAATCAATATTTTGAGTGCATTTGCGTTCTTGTTGGCTTTTGCTCTGCTGAGAATTCAACCGATCAATGACAGAGTTTACTTCCCAAAATGGTATATCAATGGAGGGAGAGCAAGTCCGAGGAGGGGTGGGAATTTTGTGGCGAAGTTTGTCAACCTGGATTTCAAGACTTATCTTACTTTCTTGAACTGGATGCCTCAAGCTTTGAAGATGAGCGAGACCGAGCTTATCAATCATGCTGGCCTTGATTCTGCTGTTTTCCTCAGAATTTACACTCTCGGGTACGCTTTGCTCGTTGATTGTGGCTAATATGCAGTTTCTTTTGATACAAAGATTGAATTTTGTACAATAATTTGCTTTGTTTCAAGTTTTTTACATTGTGTGTCTCAAGTCTCAACGCAAAATGAAGAAACTTCACCTTTACTTTTCTCGAGAATCCATACTCGACGGTTATCAATCTTTTTGTTTTATTCCAGGTCCTTCTCTACTTGTTTTGGGTTCTGGGATTTATTTATTGAGCAAATTCTGGAATTTGAAGGAGAATAAACTGTGATAGAGAGTGTTTCAAATTATATTTATGTGATTGATTCTTTGAATCAAATTTGACTAAGAACAAGCTCCTTCCCCGTTCATTTGACGCAGTAACTCTATATCTAAGTTGATCGCGGTATATGGTTAATACCTGCGTTAAAAACTTAAAATCATAGTATGTCTTGAATTATTCATGCAGTGTTGCGTTTAGTGAAGATTGGGGTTCCTTTAGTTGCAATTATATCTGCTTTGAATCACTGTCATTTTTACTTTTCGAGGAATATCATTCCCATTGGATATCAGTTACATTTAGCTGAAGCTGCACTAATGGCAACTAGTTGTAGAACTATCTGAAGCAGCTCTTTTACACTATTTAAGAGTTAAAAAGCATCCTACTGTTTCCCATGATCGATGCCTTTGGTTGCTGAACGGATTAAGCATAATTTTTGCACATTCAAGTCCTGAATGATGGTTTTTACAGTTTAGCATATTTTACATCGTTTGGATTTTGGACTTGTTTGTATATGGAGCTCGGTGGACTAGATGATTTATGCATCTTCTCTGGGTATTATAACTATTAATGTTTTTTTATCTCTTCGAATAAAAGATAAAAATTTCTTTAATCTATTCATAGAAGGCCTCCATTACCTCACCTTTTAATTTTCGTTGTCTTGACTTCAGAACCTTGACTGTTTCTTTGATTACTGAGGCATTTATGTCCACCTTCAGGATAAAGAGAGAAGCTTTAATATCTGTGACCATTTTTCTAACACAGTTGTTTCCTCCCTTACAGCTTAAAGATTTTCGTGCCCATAACAGTTGTGGCACTTGTTATCCTTATTCCGGTGAATGTGTCAAGTGGAACATTATTTTTCCTGAGGAAAGAATTGGTTGTGAGCGACATTGATAAGCTTTCAATATCCAACGTTCGTCCTGAATCTATAAGGTAAGTTTAGCATGTTATCTTTAAGAAACATCTCCTTGCTGCTTTTCTAGCAATTCTAACGAGCTATGGTTGAGTTTCAGGTTTTTTGTTCATATTGGATTAGAATACTTGTTCACGTTTTGGATATGTTTCATGCTTTACAAGGAATATGATAACGTAGCAACAATGAGGTTGCATTTCTTGGCCTCAGAGTGTAGGCGTGCAGAACAGTTCACTGTGAGTTGCGCATTCTATTTTACAATATTAAGAACAGTTGCAGCATATTTAAAGTTGAGAAGCAACCTTTACCATTAATATTTGAGGATTGAAAATTTGGTGAATTTTGCAGGTAGCTGTGAGGAACGTGCCACAGATTTCAGGTCGCACAATAGCAGATTCTCTGGATCACTTCTTTAAAACCAATCACCCTGATACTTATCTTTGTCACCAGGTAATCAACTCCTTTTGCGTAAGATTTTCTTATGCTTTTAATTAGAATCAGAGTTTCAAATGCATAATATACATGTAGAACGTCCATGTCCTTTCTTGTGGGGCTTTATGTGGCTTTATATTCCGGCATTATGATAAGCAGGCGGTATATAATGCAAACAAATTCGCTAGACTGGTGAGGAAACGAGAGAGGCTTCAAAATTGGCTGGACTATCACCAATTGAAATTTGAAAGACATCCGGAGAAGAGACCAACTAAAAAGGTAGTTTATGCTTATATACCATGGTAGTGGCAGAAGTTGTAAGCTCTATTTTTATGGTTTTACTTAACGATTCATCCAATATTTCATGGACCTATTCATTTTCTTCCTTGAATGCTTTCTACTTTCAGATAGGTTTTCTTGGGCTATGGGGTGAAAATGTCAATTCCATTGATTTCTACAAACAACAGATAAAAGAATTTGATAAACAAGTAAGCTCCTGCTGCTGTTTCATTCCAATACATTCAGTATTTAAATGTTCCAAATATTGTTTTTACTTATTTTCTTTCCGAGCTTTTCTGGACCTTTGGATGGCTCTGATAGTCTGTCTATTGCATCGTTTTTAACTGTCTCAGATGGAACTAGAGCGCCAGAAGGTTCTCAATGACTCCAAATCTATCCTTCCTGTTGCTTTTGTATCATTCAAATCACGTTGGGGGGCTGCTGTTTGTGCACAGACGCAACAAAGCAAAAATCCTACACTATGGTTGACAGATTGGGCTCCAGAACCCCGTGATGTTTATTGGCGAAATCTAGCTATACCATTTGTCTCATTGACCATTCGGAAAACAATAATATCAATATCAGTATTTGCCTTGGTATTTTTCTACATGATACCCATCGCTTTTGTGCAATCTCTTGCAAATTTAGAGGGTCTTGAAAGAGTTGCTCCTTTCCTTAGGCCAGTTATAGAACTGTAAGTTATCAATTCTTAGCTTATAGATTCAACAATTGTGATTTACCTATATGCATTTATATTTAGATGCTCTAAACATTTTTTCCCCAAAATTAATGTTAGAATAGTGCTTGCTTTCATTCCTATTACTTTAGATCACTTAGAAAATGATTGTTTATGTTCTATATACACTGTTCTGTAAGCAACAAACTGGGGAGGTAATCTTTTCTTTCTTGCCATATTGGATTCAGGGTGCCACATTGTTATTGTTTTCATTTTTAGCTGTCTGAATTACATGCAGAGAAAAGTCATTGTAAATCATTCTAAGTAATATTTCTGTATTTGGAAGGTTGCTAGTTTATTCCCTTTTAAAATTTTACAGTCTCTTCAACTCGGGAGACTTTCCCGCGATGATATTATACCATTTTAGCAACTTTCAGACTTAATATTATGTAATCAAAGAATGTTTAGTATCTTGAAACTTTGTAACTTGATTTTGTATACTCACAAAGTGTTACATGAAAATAATATGTAGGGGCTTCATCAAATCTTTCTTGCAAGGTTTCCTTCCGGGTCTCGCTCTTAAAATCTTTTTGTATATACTGCCTACAATTTTGATGATCATGTCCAAGATCGAGGGACATATGGCTATATCAACTCTTGAACGAAGAGCATCAGCAAAGTACTATTATTTTATGTTGGTGAATGTGTTCTTGGGGAGTATAGTGACTGGAACAGCTTTTCAGCAATTGCACTCTTTCCTTCACCAACCACCGACCCAGTAACGTTCCTTTCAACTCTCTTTAATTTTTTTCTTGTAATTATTATCTTAAGATGTTAGAGAACCGTCTTAAATTGCTAATTTCTTTTACTGAAACATGAGATCTAGACGAAGAGAGGAACAGGAATCTTCGAATGAATGCCTGCTATATATAGAAACTTAGATGGAATCCCACGATAATGGTCCTTAAAAAAGGTCTGACTGATATAAAACTATAAACGGTTCCTTTTCTGCTTCAGTGCTTTGACTGTCTATAGTACCCTATAAGGTTAGTAAATGGAGCCTCTCAAGATGCTGAAATAGCGCTGCTTGAGATGCTGCAATGGACGACCTCAGTAGGCTAGGACGAGATGCCTACGGAAGGAGTAGTAATCCGTAACATACTGCAGTCCTTGAGACCTTTAAAGATACCGAAACAAGTGCAACTCACATCCACTGCTAAATTAAATTTGGCTCCACCTGAGGCCAACAGCTTATGAAGCTGCAAACATCAGCATAGCAATGAACAATAGTTAACTGGGAAGACGGCAAAGAGTGTTGGTCCCTGGGAACTAGTTGTGAGTATAGTACTAGCATGTAAATTTAGCATACCACAATATTTAGGTTAAGTCACCTTTCATCCTGCTTGGGGGACATATTTTGAATCGTCAAGTGCAAATTTTGGGTGATCTTTAGTGTATAGCATTGAAAATGTCTTATCAAAAGTTCTGCTTTTTTTACTCTATTGCAGGATCCCTAGAACCATAGGGGTGTCGATTCCGATGAAGGCCACTTTTTTTATTACATATATAATGGTTGATGGATGGGCTGGTATAGCTGGTGAAATTCTCCGACTTAAACCATTGGTTATTTTTCATCTCAAGAACATGTTTCTGGTGAAGACTGAACGAGACAGGGAAAAGGCAATGGACCCGGGCAGTGTGGACTATCCGGAAACTCTCCCGAGTCTCCAACTGTACTTCCTTTTGGGAATTGTGTATGCTGTGGTTACTCCCATCCTTCTTCCTTTCATATTAGTCTTCTTTGCCTTTGCCTACCTGGTTTACCGTCATCAGGTTGGTTCATGAACCATGCTTTTATATTTATTCACTCATTAGGATACTCAGTCACAGGTCATAACTGATAAAACCTTACTCTCAGGAGAGATAAAGTTAGTTGATTAATATGAAGATTGTTTAGCAAATCATGTTAGTTGTAGATCTTCTGTTGTATTATCATAAGTTTAATAATCTCATTTTCCATTTGTTCATATGCAGATAATTAACGTCTACAATCCCCGGTATGAGAGCGGTGCTGCATTCTGGCCACATGTGCACAGCCGCATAATAGCAAGCTTATTGATCTCTCAACTTCTATTGCTGGGCCTTCTCAGTACAAAAAAGGCTGCCAATTCAACTCCCCTTCTTGTTATCTTACCCGTATTGACCTTATCCTTCCATAAATATTGCAAAAGCCGCTTTGAACCCGCATTCAGAAAGTATCCACTGGAGGTAAGTTGATTCGAGCGAGTAGCTGACTCGATTCTATTGACACCTATTGTTATAGTAAACAAGTTGGACATTCCTTGTCCATGCAGTACTTATACTTCTATGATATTTTCCAATAATCGAATGGATGTTCTTTTATCATCTTTTCGCAGGAAGCAATGGCAAAGGACTTGATGGATCGGACCACAGAACCTGATATAAACTTAAAAGCTTTCTTAGCTGACGCATACTTGCACCCGATATTCCGAACTTTTGAGGAAGAGGAGATGGTAGAGGTCAGAGTTGATAAAGTTAGAGTTGACAGACACCAAACTAATGCTGAAACTGCCCAAACTAGAGAAGATTTCAGTTCCTCCTCCCCGCCGCATCATGTACATCGTCACTCATCTCCGCCTCACCATAGCTATCAACCCACCTCCCCACCGCAAGACGTCTATCTCCATGGAATCGCATCCCAATACGAGTATAACCTCTCTTCCCCTCCCCATTATGGATACCATTACGAAGCAGAACCATGGACCTCAAGGGACTAATGCTTAGAAAGTGTTACCAGTTTGTGAGATTTCTACTTACCACCAAGGACTAGGCATTGATGATGGAGTCATTTTCTTTTCCTAGATATGAACTTCCCCTCTGGTTGTAATTTTTGATAGTTTACTAGTGGAGTTACAGAGTCCATGATTTCCTTTTCTCGTTTGTTCGTACATTATTGATTTGTCAATGTAAAATGTATTGCTCTACAGCAGCAGAAACCATTAGGTCTAATTATGCCTCCAGTCCTTGTACTCTTTGGATTTTTAAAATTTAGTCCTTTTATTTATAATGTTTATAAGTCATATTCACGTTTATCTCACCACCCTTAACGGGTCTAATTTTTATCTCATCATCGACCTACCACATGTGAAACATGTACGTATCCCTGCCCAATTAGATGTGAAGTGATATATTCTCATGATACTCATTCCACTGGCATCCCTACTTTTTTTCATTATAATGCTTGTATGTCAGTGTTGTGGGCTCTCTTCTACATCTTCACACCCTCCAACAGTGCTTACGTTTATCTAATATCAACTTGAGTTGGACTGAGACTTGCAAGTGGTCATCTTAATCTTCTTGAGTTGATACCTTCTTGGAATTGGAATTTTTTTTTGATAAAAGTTGGAAGTTCTCATTAAAAACTCTCTTCGTATTCGTCCACATACTAAAGTATGTTAACGAACATTGAAAGGAAGAAAAAAATACCTCATATTTCATTAAATAAAACACCCAATACATATGAAAACATGGAATACCCTTAAACGAGGATATACACCATTACAAAAATATACACTCACTAAACCAATGTTGATGTATAAAATGTTGTACAGCGGGTGAAGTGAGTGAATTACAAAAGTTATGACAAAAAAAAAAGATGGTCAAATTCTCGATTTATGATTCACCTCTTTTGATTTGAATGAAGAGCCATTGTCCATTAGTAAATTATCTTATGGAAGCATGAGGTAAGATCTCTCTTTTATCTCAATGGGATGCTTTGTTATATGCCTCGAGTATTTGATGACCATATAATTATCCTGTGATTAGGTTAGATATAGAACTATGATAATCGGACGGAAATCACTACAAGCCTAATATATTTACACCACGTCTTTAAGTTATATGAGCCTCTCGCTATTGGATTTTGAGATAGAACTGGCGAAGAGTATAACAAATTTAACAAAGCCGGGATCTTTCAGCAAGACCTAAACCAATTCAAGAAATCATATTTCATTTCCATAAGCATTAGGAGACACAGGTTTAACACACATAATCACAGAATCTAGGAAAGATAAATCATCATCAAATCCACTAAAAGTGCACACTACTTAAGAACGGTAAGTTTGACTTGATCCACGAATTACTTGAGCGTTCAAGTGCATTACTTCATGTATTTCAGCAGGAATTTCCTGTGGAAGTCATTCCTTATGGTATCATTAATGAAGCGCTTTTGAGGCTTGGTTTCACCACGGGCCTGGTTCTTGAAGACCACATCATCGTCCCACCTAAACCACATAAACAAATATCAAGAAAGAACTAAGCCCATTCGCAAGGTCAGGCTTTAGTTAAATAACACCGCGGCAGGGGAGGTTCTGATATCTCATGCAAGGTACCTTCTTTTTACACCGAAAGATGTTTGGTTATTCAGTAGTGGATTTCCCCGAAGAAGCTCAGCCTCTTTGGCTTTTAGCCGGTCTTCTTGCTCTAGCTTTTCCTGCACAAACATAAGGCATTTCTTTCGTTATTGATGAAATATTTTAAATAATACATTCTATAGATGTAAAATCAAGAAGATATCCAACAGCATAGAACCTCTAGAGTAATTAGCAATGAAACTATTGTATAGAGTTTACCTGACGAAGTTTCTCCTCAGCCTTCTCTTTCCTTATTCGTTCAAGCTCAGCCATTAGAGCTTCTCCGTCATCCTCATCATCATCATCGTCGTCATCACTAAGAAAAAAATTGAGATATTTAAGAAAAGTAGAAACGCAGCAATATCCAAAAGTTACCAAAACAAAAAGGATAATTCTTTTATAGATTGCACACGCAACGTAACTACAAGTTTTTCACAATTGTACTAGCATTCTATTGACTTCAGTAAGACGAAGCATCAAACTATATACCTCATGTTACGGCAAGCCTTCTAAATGATCCAAAAAATTTAAAAGATTTCAATCATCAGAGACAAATTGTACTAGCATAAAAATATAGAGGCAGCAAATAGAACCTTTCATCATCATTGTTGAAATCCACATCAGAATCATCAGCGTCAACACTGCGTGGAACAATTCGATCTTCAGTCTCCCTTTTCCCCCCTACAAGTCACATACACAGTTAGTAAAGTGCTTTGAGAGCTCACTGATTCAATAATAAATAGGCCAGCTGACAATTTACCTTCCAAAAGAAGATGGTTCCCCTTCCTATGATCTCTATCATCTACAAAAATATACTCACATATTAAGAACAAAATGGTAGCAAATTTATGGCGACCATAAATATAGAAGACAAGAATTCATGCAAATAAACAAAGAAGCGTTGCTAAAATGTTCCCCTCTTTACCATTATAGGACTTATCTTTTGATGAGAAATGTCTCCGTTCACGCTCTTCAAGCTCATCATGGAGATTTCTCTTCTGCAACTCATCCCGGGTGTCTTGCCCATCCTTTCTGCATTATCACACGTGCAAAACAAACCGATAAGTAATCTCATTTATATCATAAGTAGAGCTACAAGACACCTCTTAATGCCTAGAAGTAGGATTTTGAACTATGTCGCTCCAACTTTCCCTTCTTCTTGAAATACCTATGTCTGACACTTGCGCCTAAAAAACAGGTATGCCAATATGACCTCCAAATATTTTTCAAATACATGAAACTAAGAAAAGTTAGATTATACTCGTAACTACTCAATGAACAAACAAGACCAGGATAACAGTAACTACTCAATGAACAAACAAGATTTAGTTTCAGCCAGAATGATTACCCTCTATCTGCATACATCATACATTCAATTAAGAACAAAAACAAAACTAACAAAATAACAGAAACATGTTCTGATACCCTGAATTTTACTCTTGGGCCATTGACACCCTAATGCATATGAAAACAATCATATAAAATATAGAGAAGCTACAAAAGAATCACCTAGGCTTTAGAGTAGTATGAGCTGCAAGGTCTCTCGACGAATACTTCTGAGATGGCCCGAAAATGCGAGTACCGCCTTGTTCATTCCCACCTTTGGCAGGTTGCCATGTTGGTCTAGCAGCAGTTGTCATGTTTTCTTCAAAATATTAAACATATAAACTTATAAGGACCAATGCAAAATATTCGGAAAAAAGAACTTCTGGGTATCTAAGAAAGAAGTATTTTTTTCTTCAAAATTTACAATTTGGAATAAGAAGAAAGAGCTAAATAACTTGGAGAATTGGTTCGATTTATAAAGTTTTATCATATCGGAACAAGTACAGAAACCCTAATATTCATAGGATGAATAGATGCATACCAAATAACCAGAATCTGCCTAATTTAACATATCTATACTTCTATAAAAGCAATCCCCGAAGCAAAGAGCTTCCGATTTAAGGCATGGTTGAATAGACTGTTACATGCCTGTAACTAGAAGAGTTTGGGCAAGAAAAACTTACCGGTTTGAAGGTTAGAAGCGACCAAAAGCAGCGGCGCGGTGACCTAGATGCTTCGTGTCTGGGTGATCGGCGCGCGTTAGTGAAGCCGAACTTGAATTGAAAATCCCGAAGCTGATGTCCTTGCTATTTGAATCAAAGAATTCGATGCTATCAATTTGATGAAAAACTCTGCGGCAGACTTTGCTCTTTGAAAAGTAGATAACAACATAGTTATTAACAGTTTTTTTAAATAAATTTAGGTTAAACTACAATAGTAGTCACTAAACCTTTAGATATATTTTATTTTGGTCACAAAAATTGAAAACTTTAATTGGAGTCACTCTCATTTTGGTTATTCGACCATTAAACCATTAACGATGGGTGGTGTGAAACGCCCACATGTTAATGAAAGTTAAGTCAACATGCTCACAAATTATTTTTTAAAATAAATTAATATCATACAATAAGATGACAATACATGTCACAAATTCACAGCTTGCATAACATAATGCTTTTGCATCATTACCATTTTGCTGAGTTAGAACATCATATATTTCATTGATATATACTGTTCAGTGTTTCAATCCTCGGTTTGGCATTGGTTATTGAATTCTATCAGAGCGTTTTAATATTTACTGTTGCAGGAATTTAAATTTGTTTCATTCTACTGCAGGGGGAGGATGGTTAGCTTCACTTTGTGTGGCGGGTTTTACAGCTACTGATGTGAGAAATATTATGAAAACAGAAATGACAGATACTTAGCCGATGTCAAAACCTTCCTCCTTTTCTTCTATAGAATTATCGACTTCGAGTAGTATCATTTGTTAGTTCAATATTTTATCCTACAGTATTGGGGACAACTGCTTGAACATGCCTCCCTTCCCTACTCGCCTCCTCCGTTCTATTCTACATGACCTGTTCGGGGTAAAGTTTCATTTCCCTCTTTACAGCAAAAACATATGAACAAGGTTTTTCTTGAACAAAGTTTTACTAATTTTATTCTTCTGGTTTTCAGGTTGCCATCTGATGTGAAAATGGTTTTTCATCCAAATATTTGCTCTGCACTCTCTGCAGATGTTGCAGTATTTGCCTTTGCATACATTTCACATTTGGGAGTTGGTAAGATGAAAATTTATGGTTCGGAGCCCATAAAATGCAGTTAATCCATGCTTAATTTGTTATCTGCATATGTTAGTGGATTAATTTGAGTGGATATGATAACTTATCCTTACGATATTATGCTAATGTTAACAACTTAACATGTTTATAGTCTTTCGAGTGAAAACTTTTAACTATTACAAGTGGAAACTCGTGCAATAAATTAAAGAAAAACGAATATTTTATCAAATATTTAGGCACAGATGGAAAAGGCAGCAAGTTCAGTTATCATGCTTTTGGTTGCTCACTGTCACTGCTTAGACAGACTGAGAAACCTTTAATTATTACAAGTGGAAACTTTCTTCTGGAAATAGTTTTTTGCTCTGTCTTTCACCTCAGAAACTTGCCTTGAACTATCTAACCTAGATCTTACCAAGCTTGTAAGTTGCTTCCAGTCCTGAATAAATAGTTCCCCCCAGTTTTTAGTGCTTAGTACCATATTTTCCTTGACGGGTTTCTTTCTTTACTGTTGTTAGTCGTTATAAAAAGTTACTCTAAATCTGTTTTTTCTTTGCCTTGGATTTTACAGGCTGAGATATGGGATTATGCAATATGTTATCAGTTGTTTCTTTCTTTTACGATTGCTTTGATTTGATGCTTTTCCTCAAATGTGTTTTTGTTAATATATAAAGTTTAGGGTTGTTTCATCTCAATGCGGTCTGGCTTTTGCCTTTTATTTGCTTGTTTTAAGATGGGGTTTGCATGGAATCTTCTTTATTAGTTTGTTTAAAACTTGTCTCTAACGTTTTACCTCGATAGTTTTGCTAAATTCTGTTCCGGTTAGCCATTTACTGAAGATGAGATAACTTATTAGGATGTAATGTGCTTTTGACTTTTTGTTCTTCAGTTTCTTGCACTTATTGATATCTTAAAATCCTTTTACTTTCATAGTTTCCTTTTCAAAAGATGTACTGTATGTTTATGCATGCAAGTCAAAGAGTTGTGGTCAGTATGTGCTACGGTGATATTTTCGGTGTGCAGCTATGGTTTTTTGCTTCTTGAACGCTTGAAAACCGTTTATTGTCTTGAGATAATCAAAGAAAATTCTCATTTGTCTATTAGAATTTTGTTTTTGTTAATGTTTTGCTGCAGGATCAAGTAATAGCCTAATAGCTATGAAGATGAGGTCCTTTTCCGATGAAAACATGATGCCCGAAACCGAAATAGGATCAACCGGTTCACCTTTTTCATTGCTTTATCATTACAACACTACATCCAAACCTGGCTTGAGTTCTCTGCAACGAACTTGAATCCGTCATGAACCTGCTCTTGTTGTTTCTCCAATCCGTACCATTTCTCCCACAGCTTAATCAGGGAACAAAAGTGATTGGGAGACTAAAACCACACAGGTCGGGAAACAGAAGTCTGCTGTGAAGGGCTCTAATCAAATAGCATCCAAGGTTCTGGGGCCAAAGCAGCTATTGAAGAAACCTTCTGTTCCTAAGAAAGCGAAGGGACCAAACATTCCGGAAGCCAAACGTGAGAAGAAAAATCTTGACTTCGATCTTGATGGAACAAAATTTGATTTCTCCGGGGTGCCTTCCCCCATTTGCTTTTGTACAGATGTTGCAAGAGTGTGCTACAAGTGGGGTGCCAGTGGTTGGCAATCCTCGTGTTGTACCATTAATATATCAGAATGCCCTGTTCCTATGAGTCCCACCAGGCCGGGTGCTCGTGTGGCTGGGAGAAAAATGACCAAGGGAGCATATTTCAAACTTCTACTGAGACTTGCAGCTGAAGGTTATGATCTTTCTCATCCTGTTGACTTGAAAGACCACTGGGGTAGGCATGGTGCAAACAAGTTGGTTACAATCAAATAACGATACAGATGGCTGGTAGCTGGGTATGATATTTAGTATTTTCAAATATATACATGCTCTGCTTTCTAGTTTGAATGTACTTTACTGCTATTTCCTAGCGATGGTCTGAAAGGTCGGATTGTAAATATAGTTTCTCTGACTTTCTTTGGCAAAAGCTTAGAATCGGATGCTCCTTAGCATTTGGCAGCCCGATGCTGTTAAAATAACTTGCGTGGATATTATTTCCTTCTCCTAAGTAACTTCATTGCATTTTTTCTCCTTTTCCATTACATGGTACGGCATTAGGTATATATTAGAAGAATCAGGTACTGGACACGACAGTTTTCTCAGGAAATCAGGTACCGGACACGGCATTAGGTATATATTAGGTGCTCTGTTCACCTGAGGTCTAACGAACAGTTCAAATACATATGACATGCAAAAGTTTAGATGTTAAATGTGGCGAAGGTCAATCATAGATGTAGGAAGAGCTATCTTAGTTTATCTATCTGCCATGCTTTTATGTTTTTGATGCGTTTATCTATACATTATTTTCGCAAGAGATGCTCCGTTGAAATCGTTTCTTCCAAGAAAGTTTTAAAGAATTTAAAGCCTTGTTACTTCCCTTCCAAGTGTAAAGTTTACAGAAGATTGAGGGAACTTTCAGTTTGTATACCTGACATCATGTTGCAGAAGATTTCAATGCTATATAAGTTCTATCAGGTTCTTCTTTTTGGCATATTGAATAATTTGTTAAAAAGGTTACACCAAATTCAAGGTAAACGTCACACTGGCCATGTTTCTATGGCCAAAATCAAGATCATAACATCATAAATGGTTACATACAACAAGAAAAAGGGGGAAATCGAACTCTGGTTTTGTTTCTCTATATCACAGATCTCCACTGCATTACAACAGAAAGTAAATACATAGGATCATACTCAGTTCTTATGATAGAAACAACAGCCCAACACTCGAATGAAACTTGAAAGAGGATAATTTGTTTCGAACACAAGGTCTAGACCAATGTATGAGGAATCTCTAATAATCTTAGGCTTTTGTTGCTTCCCGGGGAGCTGCAGTTTCGCTGGAGGTAATTTGCTCGTAGAGATCTCTTATCTTCAATCCGACAATAGTTTGGAAGAGGCCGGTTCCATTGTTACTTCCCGGGAAATCAGCATGCTTCAACATTTGCTGGGTGACTTCTCCATAGAACTTGGTAGAGAGGTTGCTCAAATGGCTTTCAATATAAATAAGCTCATCTAATCTGTCAAATTGGCCGTCCATCTCCAGAATGGAAACCTAAAGACAAGCAATGAAGCTATGAAATTCCGTTGAGAACAGCCGGGTAACTAGAATATGAAGAAGGAATGTAGTGATACCTCGTTGCCGAAGTACGAGTCAGGGCCATAGTGGAATTTGATGCCAGGGTAAGAGCAAGTGAGCTTCCTTCCGCACGGTATCCATGAGATGGTTGAGCCTTCATCAAAGAGGTAAACTGGACTGAAATGCTCCACCCCTTCTTTCATGATCAACCTCACTCTCAAAACCTTCCCTTCATTGTCGTCTGGAATGAGCTGAGTCGGAAGCACTTCGATCACTGCATCAGCATATTGCTTCTGAGGATCTGCATCCACCAAATAGAAAATGATGTAACAAAACAAGACATTGACAAAGTTTACACCAGCTCAAGCACTTGGAACACAGATATTGACAGGCTAGTATTTTTTTTTACCGATATATGCATCGAAATCGGGTTTCCTGGCTTCAATACTGGCTTTAATGCTTTCAAGGCTGTGTCCCCTCTCAGCCATGTCCCTCTGCAACGTTTTCAACAAAGTCAGATCACGCTAATGAACAAAATCCAGGCATTGAATTTGCAGAACATTATTACATTAGCATACAAAATTTATCACCTGTATTTTCCATGCAAATTTGACCTCACTGCTGATGTCCAAATAGATACTGAAGTCCAAGAGATCCCTCACACGCTCATCGTACCTATATATTAGGACAAAGGTGGGCATTTCGAATAAATACTAGTAAAAGAGATAAAAAAAAACTATTAAAATATACTTAAAATAATTAAAAATAAGACTCGTAATACTGTAACATGCATCTCTTTTCTCTTTTGATTAAAACTGAATCAACTTACATGGGGTGCAGTCCTTCGATCACAAGGATCTTAGGAGGTTTAATAAGCTCAGGAGGATCCAAGAGACCTGTAACATGGTTGTAGATAGGCTTGTCGACAGCAACTCCTTTCTTGAGAGCTTTAACTTGCTCATACATGAGGTCAAAGTCGTTGGCTCTTGGGTCAAGTGCAGTGACTCCCTTCTCCTTCCTCCCAGTTCTGTCGAGCGAATGATAATCATCTAAGCATATCACAGTGGTCATGTCGCTAATGAGTGTGTTCGAGTCAGGGTTGCCTCCCTTTGGTGGCTCAGCCGCGCCACCAAACACGCTCGTTAGCCTCCTCATGAAGGTACTCTTCCCGCATCCCGAGTCTGCAGCCAACCCAATCACCACAGTATGTGAATCACCAGCTCTGCATGCTATCACACATGAACCGCTGCTGCTGCTGCCTATCTTGCCGGTTCTCCTGTAGAAAACCACTTGCTTTTGGTGGAAACCCAAATAGGTTTTCGCTGGTTTGGAGATTGAACGCGTTGAGTTGACAGATTGGGCGGTGTATACAGTTGAAACCGCCATTGTTTTCAGCTCTCTCCACCGGAAAAGAGAAATTTAGAGAACTCTTTTAGACAAGAATGCTAAACTGGTAGTTACATGGTAATAAAAAAGACCGCATGAAAACGAGTTTGTCCTCTTGTCTCCTTCTGATTTCCAAAGAAAAAATTGGAACACAAATGAGAAGAAAAAGGTTGAAGAAAACAGATGGCAGTGAGTGCTGAGTGCTTAAGCAATGGCAAAAGCTGAGGTGTCTTTTGTTTGTGAGTTCCTTTAACTGCCCCTAGTTTTGGACAAAGTTTGAAGGAGATAATAAGGCGAGAATGAAAGGGACATGAATGGACTTGAATCAATTGGTAGTGGAGAGAAGGGTCATTTCCAAAATTCATTTCTCCTTAGCAGAAAGTGAGACTATTCAGGATACTTTAGCTATGGAAAATGATTAGAAGATTTGTTCATGAGATGAGGGCATGGAGAAGCTTGGTGGTTATTTGTTTTAGTTAGGATAATGTCATGTCACGTGGCATAAAAAGGGTGGCTGGTTAAAGACGATGGGGGGTTTGGGGTGTAGAGTGATGGAGGTTACCCGGAGACTGTGCACTTGGCAACAGAGATGATTAAAATTCGATTTTACTAAAAAATTATTTTTTTAATTTGATTAAAATAAATTAGTTTAAATTTATTCGACTCATAATTTTATAAACTTAATTTGACTCAATTTTTTTAATTCGAGTCAAATTATATATAAATTCAAATAACTTGAAATTTATAGTAAATAGTTTATTATTTTTCAAATTTGAGTTATACCCCTCATTTTATATGATATATTTATATCACATATGAAAATATATATTATAGTTATAAAAAATTATTTAAATTATAATCAAATAGTATAATAATATTATAAATATTTATAATTAAATTTAAGCAGTAACTCAAACAACTCAATTAGACTTAAAAAAATTAAAATTATGAAATATGACTCATCAATTTAATTTTTTTAACTCAAATATATTTCATTAGCCAAATTCATTCTTTGGACTAGGAGTGTTCATTTTTCGGTTTTAACCGAATTAACCGATCGAACTGAATTAGTTTGGTTAATTCGGTCGGCCATCGAATTAGTTCGTTCGAGGAACGATTAATAAATTTTCTAGAATTTGGTTAACCGTTAATTAACTGAATTAACCGAAATTAAATTTTAAATATATTATATATAACATATGGACTCAACCCAAACCATTTAAAACTCAATTAATAATTTAATATCTAATAACTTTTAAACTTAAATCAATAATAATTAATTAAAAAAATTCATATAACATTTTTATTTTATAATTATATATTATTTAAATTAATTGTAAACTTTTTTTTAATTAAAAAATATACAATTTTTATATAAATTAGAAAATTTTAAAAAAATTCGGTTAATTCGAAAATTAACCAAATTAATCAAAATTTACTCGGTTTGATTAATAATTTCAAAAAAAATTGATTCAATTAACGGTTAAAGAAAAAAAATTTGATTAATTCAATTCGATCGTTTTAACGGATTAAACAGCCGTACATTGGACGGTTCATAAAGTTCTTTTGTTTTGTGGGACCATGGGGTTTCTCCCGCATCATAGAAATATTCCATGCAAAACCAGCATCCCTGTCGCCCTTTATACCAAAATCATTAAAATGAACTCTAAAACTCTGGTTGACAAGTTAGTGATTAAATTACAAAATTATAAACTTTAGTCAGCAAAATAGGAATAAGAAAATATTGAGTGATGGAAACTTGTAATATACCCTAAAACAAATCAATTATTTAATGGAAAATATGATTGGGCCTAAATTACTATCCAGTCCATTTTCCAACGCATCTATGGGTTTGAAAATTATGGGTTGAACCCAGTATTTCAGTTGATTAAATGGACTGTCTCCCATTGGGTAGAATACATTTTGGAAGGTTTTAATTCCCTTTGTTTTGTTTGATTAATAAATTTCAATCCCTTAAGCAAGGAAGAGTCATATTTAATATAGGAAAACGAAAGACAAAAAAAGGTTAATTTGGTAAGCTTGTTTGGTCGACAATTTTGTGGTAGAGTAGTGTTTATGAACCAGCTCTCTGCGTGACAATACGTTTATTACATGGGCAAATATATTAGAAGATAAATTTATAAAATCCTATGAGATTATTGTCCCGCAAACCCCTTTGATCCATCATTGATTAATAATTAATCAAATTTTCTATCGACAGGGATAGCACAAAGCGGCACAGCTTTCTTCAAAGTCATACCAAATTGTTCTTGCATGTCCAGATCTTCTGGGTTGATTCCTTGAGGAAGTTCCCAGTCAAATGAGATCATGGAAGCCAACATCAAGTGCACCATCCGAGTTGCAAGTGGCAGCCCAAGGCACAGCCTTCTCCCAGCTCCAAACAGTATATATTCAAAGGCTCCATCTTTATAATCTATTTTCGAGCCGATGAACCTTTCTGGGGAAAATTCAAGGGGATGGTTCCAATATTTGGGGTTTCGGTTCATAGCCTAGATATTGACTAAAACATGAGCGCCCTTTGGTATGGTGCAACAAGTGATTTCTACATCATTTCTTCTTTGTAAGGTAAGAGGAGAGGGGCTGCTTGGTGGAGCCGTAGGGTTTCTTTTACAACAGCTTGGAGATATGGGAGTTCATTGATGTGTGATTCTTTAACGGTTCTTTCCGTGCCGATAACTTCGATGAGTTCCTTCCTTGCCTTTTGCATAACCTAGGGATTTCGAAGAAGCTCCGCCATTGCCCACTCTGTAGTTGCTGCCGATGTCTCACTTCCAGCAATGAACAAGTTCTGCCAAAGCGCGAGAGTGAAGACTTTACATGTAAAATTTAGCAGCTGTTGTTAAAAGTTCAGGTACAAATATTTTACCAAGAAAAGTTTGTAGATATGATATTCACCTGGATCAAAGGTTTGATCGTCTCACGATTGATAAAAGACCCGTTTTCATCCCATTGATCAAGAAGCACATCCAGGAAATCACCGTTCCTGGAGCTTGGATTTGATGATGCTCTACCCTTCATTCGTTTATCAATCATCTCGTCAAATATCTCATGCATCCTATCATAATGCATCATTGCAAGCTTCCTCACTCCCTGCAAGTCAAACCTCTTGAGCACCGGAAAATAATCTGATAAATTCGGTTTCCCAGCGCTCTCCACAATCTTCCACACCAAATCTTTGAACTCCTGAGCCGTGCTAAATTCCGGGTCAATGATATCCATCGAAAACATGGTACTGAAAATCAAGTTCAAAGTAGTAGCGAAAACGACTTCACCTACATTAACTTGGGAATTCGAAAGACAATGGTTTTTGATATGTTGAATAAGTTGTTCTACTTTTTGGTATCGTAGGAATTGCAGAGAGTTGAGTTTTTGTGCACCGAACAACTGGGTGCTGCATAATCCCCGGAGTTTACGCCACCGATGGTCGTCACTAGGACCCCATACCAAGGAGGCTTTGAGGTTGTGCATGGAAGCAATGGCATCGGGAACCGGGCGGTCGGAAAAGGGCTGTGCATGAGTTTGGAGGACTTGTTTAGCCATTGCAGGGGACGAGAGTACGATAGTTGTGATGGAGCCTAGGCGGAGAGTCATAATGGGGCCATGGATCTTGGCAAGCTCGGCGAGGGACTGGTTTGGATGACGACCTAGGCGATTGATGGAGCCGAGTATGGGTAGGCCGATCGGACCTGTCTTGGAACGGCCGAACAAGGGCTCGAAAAGTAGGAAGAAGATGACGATGCAAAACAAGAATATGTATACTTCCATTTCGATTAAGGTTAAAGCCAGGGGATGTAGCTGCTAATATATTCATTAAAAAGTGAGAACTCATCGTATAGAATAAATTAGATTAGAAAAATCATTCCGATAATAAATCTATAAAATATTTAATTTAAATTAATCGATTAATAAATTATATACTAATAATTACATAAAAAAATCTTTGAGAAGCTTTGTATTATTATTATTATTATTATTTCCAGCAATGACAAGTAAAATATGTGTCAACCATTCAAGAGTTAGAATAGTAGCTAAGCAAGCTTAATAATAAATAAGATATACCAACCATTGTCGAGCGTAGTTGGTTCTACATATTTAGGACATATATATAATTTTATTAAAAATAACTTTTATTTTTTAACTGTTTTAATTATAAAAAAAACAAACTAAAGTAACATTTAGTGGAACAAAAAATCATTGTTTTGAAAACCGGACCGAACCGGCCGGTTCAACCGGGAACCGCTGTCTAGTCCAGTTCAATATACACCGATTGAACCGCTATTAGTGAACCAGCCGGAACCGCTGAACCATTCAAACCAGACCGGCTGAAAACCGAAAAAAACTACCAATTTTGTTTTTTTTTTTAAATTAAACCAAATGACGTTGTTTGTTAAACGAGCCAAGTTGAACTCGAGTATTGCTGAACTCGACTCGAACTTGAAAACTTTAAAAGTAAGCTCAACTTGACTCAAACACACGAGCTAAAAATTATCAAGTTCAACTCGAACTCGAAATATAATATTGAAACTTGAACTCAAAAAGGCTTGAACTCAAAAAAAATTTAAAAGCTCGATTGAAGCCTAAAATTCAAGCTTGATTGAAGTGAAAGAATAATTCATTCAATGCTCACCAAAAGGCTCCATGATTTTGAATGTCAAATTATCTCTATTATTTATAGAAGTTAGTTGGGATGTTCTTCTATGTTTCTTAGCCATGTGGGATTGTTTTGTTCTCATATTTTTACTCTTTAGACTTTTGGGATGCTCTTCTATGTTTCTTAGTCATATGAGATTGTTTTAAAAAAAAAATAAACCAAACAATATTATTTTGTTATGATTTTTTAGCCCCAAATTTATTTTTTAATTATAGTTATATAATTATATTTATTATTTAATATGTTTTACCTTAATTATTATGTTGTAGTTAATTTGAATCATTTTGTTTCACTTAATTTTATGGTTTTTAACTTATATATGTTATGACTTGCTTTGAATATGATTTGTGATATAAAAAATTATTTTTTATTAAATATTTTTAGTATTTTTATTTAATTTTTTAAATAATCATTACGTCGTCCGGTTCTTCCTACCGGTCAGACCGGTTGAACCAGTAAATCTATAGCATGACCGGTTCGCTAACCGGTCCGGTTCTGAAAACCATGCAAAAAAAAATTATATGAATTGAATTTTGTAAAAATTAATATGCAAAAACATAAGCCATTTCTTTTGGGCTTATAAATGAAAAACCCAAATAACATTTTACTAAAACTATGGTAGTTGGTAACCACTCACTATTCTTCAATTAATAATTATACCAAACTTCTTTTCTTTTCTCTCTCTAGTTCAGATTTTTCAAAGAAAAATTCAAACTTTATGAAATAAAAATCAAAATCTTGGATCAAACTTCGTCGGATATCCATAAATGGATGTTGAATTAATTTGGATTTAAGCTATATCAGTCCTTGCGACTTCTATAATCAATTGACTTTTTGAATCTTATAATAAATCACTGTGACTCGAGATTGTCGATGACAAAGACGAGTGTCTTTCCTTTGATTTGGATTTATTTACTATTGATTCTTATTTAGATTGATTGTTGCATTTGATTTTCTTCTACTAGTGCATTATGTGCTTGAGATTTTAGTATTGAAGAACGCTATAATTAGGGTTTTGAGCGTGATGATCATTTAATGAAATTAGTGATGAATGAGGACTGGAATTTCAGATGACATGCTGATGGAAGTTGAAGAATGCGTATTGTGTGTTAATGTGTGAATTTGATGAAATTTTGATGATTGATTGTTGACAATAGATATATTGGTGATCGATGTGATGATTAAATATATAGAACTAATTCATTTAAAGAGTGATTTGGTGATTGTGGGGTACAATGATTGAATAAGGTGGTGTGATTGATGGGCGGTGAGACTCATTTGAATGTTAGTGAGTGGGGATAATGGTATCGAGGGCCTACGAGGAACAAATTGTTAAATAAGGATATTTAACATGTCACATTATATTTTTATTGTTCATATAAAAAAATATTAACAGTTATATAATATTTTGATATAAATCAATACTAGTAATAACTGTAATTTTAACTTTAACTAATAATGTAAAAAGAAATTTACTCAAATATACAATATAGTCATTAATATGATTTAACCAAACTTAAAATGGTACCGGTAGAACGTAGAACACTGCCAAAGCTTGGCATAAACTTGTAATACGTTCGGTAAAGAAAAACAACCAAAAGTTTAACTCGTTTTGTGTATACTACAAACTAAATAGGAACAACACAAAGTGGTACAGCTTTCCTGAGAGTAGTACCAAACTGTTCTTGCATGTCCAAGTCTTGTGGATTGATTCCAGGAGGAAGTTTCCAATCAAATGAATGGACCATAGATGCTAACATCAAATGCACCATACGAACCGCAAGAGGCATGCCCGAGCATATCCTTCGACCAGCTCCGAATGGTATATACTCGAAATCACGACCTCTGAAATCTAAGCTCGAATCAAGGAATCTTTCAGGACGAAACGAGAGAGGGTCAGTCCAGTACTTGGGGTCTCGGCCAATACCCCATGCATTCACCAGAAGCTGAGCGTTCTTTGGTATATTGTAGCCGCATATTTCCACATCCTTTTTGACTTTGTAAGGTAGGAGAAGTGGAGCCACAGGATGGAGGCGCATTGTTTCTTTGACGACAGCTTGAAGATATGGGAGTTTATCGATGTCTGATTCGTGCACAGCTCTTTCGGTTCCAATGACTTCCATGACTTCTCTTTTTGTTTCTTTTAGGACTTCAGGTTTTCTAAGGAGCTCTGCCATCGCCCATTCTGTTGTTAGTGCAGATGTATCACTTCCAGCAATGAATAAGTCCTGTTTAATAGTATTTGTTTCTTAGCTGATGAAATTATATATTTTAAAAAAAAATTCGAAGAGTAAGCAAAATTGTTACCAAGATCAAAGGATTGATATTTTGGCGAGTGAAGTAGGACTCGTTCTCTTCGCATTGATCAAGAAGAACATCCAAGAAATCGCCATTTCTGGTCATGGAATCTGAAGCTCTAACTTCCATTCTTTCTTCGATCATCACGTCAAATATCACATGCAATCTCAAATAAGACTGCCTTATATGCTTCCTTATTCCTTGCCAATCAAACCTTTTCAACATCGGAAAATAATCCGACGAGTTCGGTTTCGCTGAATACTCCATGATACGCCAAACCAATTCTTTAAACTCTTGCGCCGTGCTGAAATCAGGGTCCACGATATCCGTTGAAAATATAGTACTGGAAATCAAGTTCAATGCCGTAGCGAAAGTGAGTTGCCCTATATTGACTTGGGATCCGGAAACACGTTGCTTGTTGATGTGTTCGATGAGTTGCTGCACTTTCTGGTGACGCAGGTGTTGAAGCGAGTTGAGTCTCTGCACAGTGAACAACTGGGTGTTGCATATTCTCCGACGGTTGCGCCACCTTCCATCGCCGACTGCCCATGCAAGGGTTGACTCGTGGTTAGGCTGGGAAGCGACGGCATCGGGAACAGTGTGGTCGGAGAAGGTCTCATCGTGTGTTAGGAGGACTTGTTTGGCGATTTCAGCGGAAGAGACGACGACGGTGGTGACATAACCTAGGCGGAGAGTCATAAGGGGGCCGTAGGTTTTAGCTAGCTCAAAGAGGGATTGGTTAGGGTGAGAGCCTAGGCGGTGGAGGGAGCCTAATATAGGGAAGTTGAAAGGGCCCGGAGGGAGGCGGTGGGCGGCGGAGGAGCGACGGAGAAAGAGGAGGAAAAATGAGATGCAAAACAATATGATGGTGTAGAGCTCCATGTTTGTTTTTGTTTTGCTTTGGAAATGTGTATAATCAAGGCCTTTAAGTAGCCACGTTCGTTCTTAAGAAAAAATGACAAACCTTTATGATAATAACTATTCTTATTTAAAATATCTAGAATTAATTACATTAATTATTATTATTTAAAGTTTTAAGTAAAATTAAATTTATAAAATTTGAATTTAATAAAATATATTTGTTTAAATTTTTGTTTAAATTTAAATATAATTATTTATAATATTATGATATTATTTTCTTGGTATAATCACTAGTTTTTGATTTATTAATTGAAAAATCAAGATCGAGTACTATAGAAGCAAGGACGACCCTCTCAATCCAATCTACTTCATTCACAAACGTCGGAATTTAAACTTCTGACCTTACTTAAGGGGTCTATTGTATTATTTCACTAGACCAATTGATTCCAATTTAAACAATTTTATAATCATATAAAATATTCACACACACAATATATATATATATATTCTTACTCATTTTCATATGCGTAAGATGTATTATTAATGAATCAAATACTATCTAAAAATAATTTAATATATTTATAATGTTTTAAAAAATAAATTTTAAAGATAAAATATTGATTGGAGTATAAAGAAATGAAACAATTGACAAGAAGAAATATTTTGTAAAAAGTTATAGTCGGAAGACTAAATTAAAAAATATATAAAATTGAGAGATTAAATTTAAAAAAAAAATTGTCAAAAAATATTAAAGTTACTTAATTTTTCTAAAGCGGTAGAAGAGTATGTGATTCAAAATTTTAAAAATAAATTTAAAATGAATGATGAACAAAAGAAATATGGAAGTGATATAAAGTTGAAGTGCTAAATTGCAAAGAAGAAGAGATTATTATAAAAAAATTAGAATCAAAATTACATAAGTATTTTACTTTGGTTGAAGAGCATGCCGTTCCAATTCGATTAAAAATAGATTTAAAACAAAAAAAAGTTAAAAAAACATTAATAAAATTATTAAACAATCAGATTCTTAATTATCGATCAAAATAATATCATTTCAATTCTCAATTTTTTAATTATTAAAATTTATAAATTTAGATTAATTTGAACAATTCGAATAGAACAATTCAAAAAAAAAAAAACTCTAGATTATATGATAACATCTTGACTTTTAGTTTCTGTTTTGAAAACTGGACCGGATCGGCTGGTTCAACCGGGAATCGTTGTTTAGTCTGATTTAATCTAAACCGGTTGAACCGCTATTAGTGAACAGGTCAGAACCGCTGAACCGTTCAAACCGGATCGGCTGAAAACCAGGAAAAACCGGGTTTTTTGTTTTTGTTTTTTTAAAAAAATTAAACCAAACAACGTCGTTTGTTAAACGAGCCAAGTCGAACTCGAGTATTGTTGAGCTCGACTCGAACTTGAAAACTTTAAAAGTAAGCTCAACTCAACTCAAACTCACAAGCTAAAAATTATCAATTTCAACTCAAACTCGAAATATAATATTGAAACTTGAACTCAAAAAAAAAATTAGAAGCTCGATTGAAGCCTAAAATTCGAACTTGATTGAAGTGAAAAAATAGTTATAATTATAGTTATATAATTTGTTATGATTTTTTAACCCCAAATTTATTTTTTAATTAGTTATATAATTATATTTATTATTTAATATTTTACCTTAATGTTATGTTATAGTTAATTTGAATCATTTTGTTTCACTTGATTTTATGGTTTTTAACTTATATATGTTATGACTTGCTTTGAATATGACTTGTGATATAAAATATTATTTTTTATTAAATATTTTTGGTATTTTTATTTAATTTTTTAAATAATTATATCGTCGTCCGGTTCTTTCGACCGGTCAGACCGATTCAACCGATTGAACCAATAAACCGATAACATGACCGATTTACTAACCGATCCGGTTTGAAACCATGCTTTTAGTACACTTGAAGATAACATATAATACACATCTTGGGATCCGCGGACATCAAAAAAAACAATAATATATATTTATAGAAAAAGAATAAATTATTATATACACATTCAGTCGTTCTCCTCTTTCTCTCATTTAACTTAATCTAACATCAGTAAATTGTGTAGAAGTCAATAATCAGTTAAAATAGGTGAAAATGAAAAAAGAAACTCACACATCGTTTTAGCTTGACGTTGATTTTCAATTTCTTTTTTGGTAAAAAAAAAAAAAGAAAAAAAAAGTCAGTAAACAGATGACAACGCAACCCAACTGTCAGCAACTAATTTGGAGCGGGTCAAGCCCTCTGCAGCAAAACAATTGATTTTTTTAAATTAAAATCCAATTTTACTCATTAAATAATATCTTTTACTTTTGGTAAATTCTCGAAGATAACATATAATACACATCTTAAAATCCGTAGCCGCCAATAAAATAATAATAAATATTTTAGAAAATTAGTAAATTATTATGTACGCAACCATTCATTCTCCTGTTATGCTCATTAGACTCAATTTAACATTAGTAAATTGTGTAGAAGTCAATAATTAGTAAAAAAAAGGTGAAAATGAAAACATAAAAATCAAACATCGTTTTAGGTTAACGTTTATTTTCAAAATTCCTTTTTGGTTAAAAAACAAAAAACTTAAGTGAACGAAAGACCTCGCAACCCAGTGCCCAAATTGTCGCAACTAAGTTGTTGCGGGTCAACGAAAAGTACAGTGCGTAACAGGACCGGAACTCTTCTTGACCGCTGAAAGCTCCTCATCAACAAAAAAGTAGTTGGCTAAATATAATTTTTCTTTAATTAAATCGTATTAAAATTATATTTATAAACCAATCAAAATTAAATACGTATAATTAAGTACATATTAGATATTTAATAATGCAGAAAAAACTTAAATATTTAATTTCATGAAAGAATAACAGTTAAATAACCTAAACTACATAAAAAATATATATTATATACTGTATGTGTAATTGTACCCTTGAAAGAAAAGTTAGGTACTATGTGTACCCTTGAAAATTAAATACCACGCTACACATAAATGTTAGTATCAAATAAAAGAAAAGTTAGGTGCTGCGTGTACCAACAAAAAACAGACACACAAGGCTGCACATAATAAATATCTGTATACAAAAATTACTATATTTTACCCAAATAGTTTTCAAAATAAGATGAGAAGAGTTGTGGTTTTATTACGCATACACCGTTTTATTTATTTATTTATTTATGAGAGTTGTATCTTTAAAATGCACTAAATGCTCATGACGGGTAACCTTACTAAAATGTCTTTTCAAGTGTAAATTACGAAAATATATTTACGAGCTTAATGATTAAATTAAAAGATTTGACACAAACCAAATAATTCCTGTGGTTAAACGAAGGATTGTTACTCTAGAGATTTTAGGTTTGAACATCAATAATTATAGCAATGTTTAAACTTTCATTGTCAGGTGATGAAAAATATTTAGAACATGTCTTTCATATAATTAATCTGTGTTAATTAAAAATTTAATTTAATTTGATGAGATGTATAAGATGTCTTTGGGACTCATTAATGGGTTATGAAAACCCTATGTATTGGAAATAATAGAAATTCCTTAAGTATTAAATACCTAAAATGCCATTAAGAGTAAGATGATACGATTTCTCTTATGAGAATGAAAAGGTCACAACTTCCTCACAATTTGAGTGCATACTTCATAAGTGTATGATGAATACGTAGGTTGTAGACGTGTGTGTGATTGGTAGAAGATTAAGTTTATATTTGTCTTTTAGTAATGTATTTTTATTTAAATCTTATTCTAAGTGTAGATAAAAATAACATTTAGAGTAGTCATAACTATAGTTAAACACTATGTATATAATCTTTGGATTAATGTAAAAATAAGTGTCCAAATTACACTTAAAGTTAACTTTAGGTGCCTAAAGAATTTTTCGTTAAAAATAGGTGTCTAATATTTTTGACGCTACACTTTTAGGTACATGTCGTTAAATTTGACTGTCAAGTGACACATATCAGACTTATAAAAATTTAAAAAATTTATTTTTTTTTGAAATTTTATATGCTTAACACGTGTCACTTAACGATCGGATTTAACGGTGTTAACAGACCAAGCATCTAAAAGTGTAACGTTAGAAACGTTAGACACCTATTTTTAACGAAAAATTCTTTAGGTGCAACTAAAGTTAACTTTAGGTATAATCTGGACATTTATTTTTACATTAAACCTTAATTTTTTTTTATGAAGACCAATATTGTAAACAATAATTTTAAGTGAATATAGAAGAAAACACACTATTTTTCCTTCATAAAAACTCTTATCATCTACACGATATTATTAAGGAACATAAACTGGTAAAGGATTAATATGCCTTTGTTTAAGGTTCTGAGGAAAAATTAACTATGATTGCAAATAAATCACACAAAAACTTGTGAGAAAATACTTTTTCTTGTGATTGAATAATAATGGATGTAATTGTGTAGTTATGGTATATTGATTGACTTAAAAGAAAAATATCGATCTGTGTGACTTATAGACAATTATGTACGTGTGTGATCGCGTATAATGAAAGATTGTTTCATGATTGCACAACCTGACTGTTTAGTGATACCAGGTGTCAATTTCATTTATTACTATAGCTATTTGTAATACTTGATGGGTTGGTGATTTTATATAGTCTACAATTATTGTTATGATCGTACACACATACGAACTAGCTGTATGATTGACAGTATCGTGAGTAGTGAGTACTGATATAAGACTGATTGTTATTATTGATTAACAACTACCTAATTACTAGATGATACCAAGTAACTCATTGCTACTGAAAGTAATGTGTGAACAAGTCCTAGAAACAAGGACTAGATTATGAATAATGACAATAATGTATGGTTCATAAGGAATGTTGGAAAACATGCTACACCTATGCATAATTATATATATGTAGACTCATTGCTCTTTATTTATGAACTGTATGAAGTATAACAGAGTGAAAATATATTACTAAGTTTGTAAAGTTTAACCGTTCGTTCATTAGTAGATTATGATCATTTTAG